TGTTTTTTTTTTTTTTTTTTTTTTTTTTTTTTTTTTTTTTTTTTTTTTTTTTTGAAACATAATTACATTATACCAATACCAGTATACCACTATTCAAAATAAAATACAGCATTTTTAATTATAATATAAATCATTCATAAAACAAAAAAATTAAATTATAAAATTACAACTGTATAATATTAATAGTATATAATATTTTAAAACAAAAAATAATAACAAGGTTTAATAACCTTTTTATAAAATTTCATCATTTTCATACAAAAATCCTTAAAAATTATTACAATTAAATAGCATTAGAACTTGTTTGAATTCAGATTCTGACTTTACAACACAAGATTATTTAAAACGTTTTATCATTCAAAAGATTTCCCCTCGGTGTCATGATCTGTGATCTACTACTAAATAAACGTTCTACTGACGCAGAAAAGAGAAGCGTTGTATTGTATTTAAAAAAAATTTTTTTGATGATTGAAAATGAATTAAGAACAGTAAAATCTTTATTTTTTTTTAATTCAAATATTCCAAAGCTTGAACGTTAATACTATTTTGATTACTTTGAATATCTATTTCCACATCTAAACAATTTCTATTCTCTGATGAGACTTGAAATAATTTTTGGTCACTGCTATCACTGTCTACAAATGGGTATAATAGGTACCATTTAGGTATACCTAATACCTACATTTTTTTTTTTAATATTAAGCCATAATAGCAACAGTATATGGTATTTTTTTTATTTAAATCATAAAACTATGTATTTTTGGATGCTGAATGTTGATAATTAGTATATAAATTTTATAAATATTGAATTATGATAATATGGTTAATCAACTAATCTAATAAAATATAAGGGAGCACTAATCTATACTAGTATACTATGAGGGGTACTGATCTAAATTGCTTAAGTAATAATTTGCGTCAACAAGATAAACTACCTACATATACTTAATAAAAAAACTAGGTATTTAAGTGTTGTTTATCAATTTTTTTTTAAAATTAAATTAAAATAATTAAGCTTACTTTTATACGGCTTAAAAAATTATCACTTGATTTTGTGAGTCCACAAACAACTTTAGGACAGTTTTGACAAACAGCTGTCACTTTAAGATTTCTACATTTTGAAGCTTATAAAATTTGTCAAATAAATATTTATAATATTAATAATGAATTTCTAAGTGAAACGTGAGTAGAAATGAGAATTGTTGAGCTTTTTGAGCACATTTTGAGCTTCTACTTGGTCGAGGTCCAGACGAATTTTTTTTATTTGATGTGGAATTTATATATCGATCCATGATTTAACTGCTCAAATATAAAGTCACAACTCACATGTAATAAAACGTTTACACCTTTTACTAGAGAACGGTCGCGTTGTACGACAAATCGTTAGTCGTTCCTAATCACGTTTAGACATTAGACCGAATACCGCAAAACGGGGCGACTTCGAAACGACTGCGTGTACTAAGTGGGTATCCTGTATACATCGATATACTCTTTATCAAATATGGTATCTAGGAATTTAATTTTGGTTTATTTTTAAAATAGATGGGAAAATAATATATATTATCATTGCGTCCATTATCGAAGAGTAAGATGCATGCCCTCGTGTACGCACGGTGATTGCAATAATAACGAGATATATTGTACACATAATTTCTCTTATTTTATAAATGATTTATATTATAATTATAGTTTTAGTAACATTGGTTTATTCATAATCATGAGTCAAAACACGATTAAGGTGCTCATGTCTCGTAGTTCATGTTTGTAAAATAATACAGTAATTAAAAAAAAATATATAATTATTCTTTAATACAATTTTTGTGAGGACACTATAATATTAAAATTATTTAGATAAGCTCATTTTTTTTATCCAAGCTAAACATTAGGTAAATCGCAACATAATTATCTAGATACTCTAAAAGATAATTAATTTAAACAAATATTATATAGATAATTCCCAACACTGATAACAAGCATTCAAAATTTTAAACAAAGCACAACCAAATTAAAAGTCTTATAAACTTGTGCATAATACAGTAAAAACTTCCGTTAACGGTCATCTCTAAAAGACGGTGTTACCTATATGTAACGGTCATTTATTTTGGTCCCGTCGAATGTTATGCTTCAATAGGACACCTATACAGGACGGTCACTTTTAAATAGCAGTCGTTATTTCTGGTACCTACGGTGACTGTTTTATAAAATTTTAACTGTATTATACAAATTAATACTAAAATATGTATGGCAATTGTGAAATTAAAAAAATGATTTGTAAATTATTCCACTCACGAGTTTACACCCAAATGGCTTCATTTAATGGGATCAAGTCTTCTGTAATTCTGTAGGTGAATAGTCTGATATTTGATTTTAATGATTTTAATCTGTACACAGTAGTTTTTTTACAAATGGACTCAACGTCCGGCCATGACATTTCAATTGACTTATGTAACTTTCAGCGTTTTCTTCAACCAACGCTATTTTTAAAAATAAACATAGCTAATTAATTAAAAACGTACAAATAAATAAATTTCAATTAAAGTTCACAGCATTCATCGCCTAATTCACCATTGAATGCTGCAGTTGTTTTGAACTATTGTCCTCTACGCGGGTATACGAATTAAACGGCTCTAACGAATGCATTATCTTATAATGATAAACAAACGATGGCAATGATGGTACATTTAACACGCAAATAAAGCATTTCATTTTGTTAATATAAACATATTATTTAGTACAATAGAACACTTACTGCAGTTTAATTTTTTCTTGACGGACGCAACCAGTGTTGAATCTAGGTAAATGACAGGGGGGCGACAGCCCCCCTGGAGTTTCGTCTGCCCCCTGTTAAACGTGGATAAATTAATTGAATAATAAGACAAATAAAACAAATTTGATTAAGAGGGTAGATAAACATAAAAAATAAAAAAGGACATTATTATAATTGTTTGTGCCCCCCCCTCCGGAAAAATCATCTGCATTCAACACTGGGCGCAACTTAAAATTTTAAATTTTGCAGCAATTACACTAAACTGACTAAACGGACACAGTAAAATGTGAATATGGAACAGTGTGAAATTATAAATACCTGCTATGGTCGGTAAAGCTTGCATGCGCTCGGACCGAAGAAAAAATCTTTTGTTGAATCGTTTTGCACACATGAAGAAAATGGGATTTCCATTTTCCAAACTTCCAGTGATGTATATCTATTTTTGAAATAGAACCGTGGTTCACGAGCTAAAATAATAATATATCACAAAATGATAATACAACAATAACAGATTTGTACAGGTGACGGGCGCAAATGTACGTTCATTATCAAATAACAATACGGTTGCCTGTTTTAAATAGACAGTTTTATATTTTTATTTGTTAATAAATTCGTTTATTTGGTTTAACAAAACTATATAACCTATTAACATACCTAACATATTAGTTGCCTAGTCGACCAAACCACGGCAAAAGTGGTATTAATTGCGTTATTGGCGTTACCTGAACCATTCGGCCTCTTGAACAGTGAACAGCTATTTTTTTTACCTTGGTCCTAAGTTGGCTAACCAACTCGGCCAAACTGTCAAGCTGGATCGTGGACGGCCGGTCGCTGATAAGATATTGTTATCGTTAAATTCACGATTCTTTTACGTGTTCAAATGTAAATATTAGAAACATAACTTAAAAACTACATACTATATAGACACAAAAATAAGCTGAAATAATGTTCGTGGAGTATATACCTATAATATTTGTTTTCAAAGAACATCGCGAAACTTATAATCTCGAGATAATTATATTGTTCATTCGTCCGAAGAAAATGTTTATTTTTCAGCTTAATAATTCATGTAAACCTGTACTTTATGGAAACAATTTTACTATTGAAAACTTTTGGACAAATCAAAAAAATAACTTGCTTTAAGTACCTTCCCAGTCAGATTTCTTTTCAGAAAAAGTGCTATTATTGTAAATCGGAGCAAAGTTGCTAATAGAAAACTTGTGCACAGAAAAAACAATAAACATCATTGTAAAACCAATACTTACATTCCTTGCTCCATTCAGAATCTAAAATGTTATCAACATAATATGACAATATAAAATATTATCAAACTAATTTTTTAAACTTCTAAAACTATGTTAAGCATAATGCTTAATATATTTTTATTATTAATTTTATAATTTTAAATAAGAAACATTAATAAATTTTAGAATGATAATGTTTGATCTTAATATCTTATACCTACTACATTTTAGATTCGGAACGTAACGAAGAATGTGCTTATTCAATGATGTTAATTTTTTTTTATATACTGTACAAAATTTCTACCAGAAATATTGCTCCGATGTATCAAGTGTTGCAACTCTTGTTAGTACTTTAAAGAGGTCATTTTTTGATTTTTGAGTGGTTTTCGTAATAATCGACGAAAATCGGGAAAAACCGTAGGGAAAATTTACAAAAAAACGGACATATATTTACAGCGCATCGTGACGTAACGATTTCATGATTTAACATTTTTGCAACTTATGTTTTCTAACAGAAATATTTGCAGGAAATTCTGTAAGCATGATTTGAAATGTCATGATTTTTACAATTTTCATAGAAAAAAATTTGAACCTAAAACGATATAATTATTATACATTACTTATGTTCAACTATTTTTCCTACTATGTCAGTACAACTTTTGATGAATCCTGTAAACATTTTTATATTTTATTATATTAACATACATTGAAAAATAATAAGCACCTACCAGAAATGCTGTGATTTTTACAATTCAAATTTTCATTAAAATTTGAACTTTAAACACTTATGAAGAGAAGATGACTTCAGTCAAAAATTAAATATTCATTAATTTCTGTGTTTCTTCCTAACATCATATGTGGTAACACATATATCTTGCACTACATTATAATAAAAAGTTTAAACATAATTTCTTAATATTTTTACATTATTCCATTAGGTAAAACAAATTTAATAAAAGGTTTTCATATAGGTAAGTACTTTATTTAGCGTGAAAACAATCAAATGCAGTTTAATACATTTAAAATAATAACCAGCACCTATTTTTAGTGAACCTTGGCATAAAATGTGTAATCCTAAATTGGAAGTGTACACTAGGGATTTGAGAAGTGTGTACTAATAAATAAGAATGTTTAATAAATAAAAATAATTAACCATTAAATGCTTAATCTTAACAGCCAGAATTTATATTTTACAGAATAGCAAATAGTATACATAACACTTAAATACTAATTAAATTTTTAAATATTCATATTTACAATATACCTATCGTTCAGAAAAAAAAAAGAATTACTTATCTAAGTATTTCTTAACATTAATAATTATTAAAATTTTAATCAATTGTTGATAGTGTGTATTGGTGTGAAAACATTTTTATGATGAACACAAGTATTATGTAAGAATGCCTTTTCATTTTTAAACCAATAATTCAATAAATTATTGATTTCTTCTTTAGTTTCAAGAGGTTCAGTTACTTTAAGATATCTCACTGTTTCACTCTAAATTATACAAACAACACAAAAGTTGTAATTTATTCATGTAAGTGTCATAATTATAATAAAAATGATTACCTACCCGTAAATAGTTAATGACTTTCAATGGACGACAACAAGATAAATCATTTTTATTTTCCATTTGCATTAGTTCTAAAAGCTGTTTAAGTTCCTCAGCGCCATATGTTGATATATGTAAAGCAACATCAGTAATAAGTATATCTGGATTAGCATTATCATCTACAAAATTACAAATTGTGTTTCAATACAAGACAAGAATATCATCAAGTGTAGATATCTTACCATTAAATGCAATAACAATATTAAAACCATTTTTAATTATTCTTTCATCTTTAACAGTATACTTCTCAACTGATGGTTCATATGAAGTAGCCAAGTCCATAAGAAAACTAAAATTATTTTCACCTAAATATCTTTAAACAAAAAAAAACTTAAACTCATTCGTTAATTCTAAAAACACTTATGTGTCAAAACCATAAGAGTAATACTCTTATGATTACAAAAGTGTTTTGTGCAAGTATGAAATATACAAGTAATATTTACAGCAAGTAAAATTTATCTAAGCAAATAGTTATAATAATAATTAATTATAAATGCTACGCCATTAATTACTTTTTATTTGTTTTAATAGGTTGGTCTAAAATTTTAAGTGGCATTGCATCATTGGCCAATTTCTGGTAGAAAATGACAGCTTCTTGAAGACAACAAATATTTACTACATGTATCTTGTTGCGTACACAACAAATCCAACTATTTTTTTCGATTTGACCAATTAAACTGAATTCAAATGAACTATCATAAAAATAAAATGTAATATTTTATTAAATTTATTATAAATATTAAAATCATATTAATATCCTAAATATATCCTAGGGTAAGGTACCGGGTCCAGATGGAATATTGGATATAGCTACAAAGGAGATAGTGATGATGAGACCACAAATTCTATTAGAAATATTCAATTTGTATTTTAACCATGGATCCTTTGCTAAGACGTGGAAAACGGTGAATTTAGAACTGCTCAAAAAAGGAGGCAAACTCCTAGAGCAGCCATCATCGTATCGACCCATGTCTCCTCAACACAGTAGGCAAGCTATTTGAGTGCATCATTAAAGAACGACTAAAGGCACATTTAGAAAATGTTGGTGGCCTGAGTGATGTATGGTTTCAGGAAGGGTCAATCTACAATTTACAATTACAAAGGTCTCCGGAAATTATAAAAGCAGGCAGCAGATGTACCGGTACATTAAATTCGGCAAGGTAGAGAAAAATCGAAGAAGTATTGTGCAATAAAAGAGTACCAGGGTACCTATTGGAAATCATCCATGACTACTTATATGACCAAGCAGTCGTTTTTGATGAGGAAGGACGTCAAACAGTAACATGTGGCCGCAACCTTGAAACAGTTTCGACAAAAGCATCCTCCTTATCATCAGCCCTATCAAGGCTGATGCTGAACGTAGGGTACTCAAGACAGCGGTAACGACAGCTATTAGTATTAGTAGTTATCAGCCAATTGCTATACGCGGCTCCAGTTTGGGCGGCGCATTAGTATACAAACAAATATTTATATAATTCAAAGACCTCAAAGATCCATTGCATTAAGAGTGGTAGTAGCGTTTAAGGCGGTTTCCGTGGCTGCGATTATAGTAGTAGTGGGGCTTATTCCGATACACTTACAAGCCAGGGAGAGACAAATAAGATACGGTATAGAGCAGAATCAGAGCAAAAATAAATAGGAAGAATAGAGTGAGAAGAAACATTCAGGATATAGCAGAAGGAGTGGAACTTGAGGAACGTATTGAAGGTGTCTTTGAGCAGGATACTGTGGTCGACAACATTTTCAAATCCAGAAACAACTGGGAAGCAATAAAGAAATATGTCCAAGTACTTTTATAGCGAGAGGAAGAAGAACGCAAAAGACAAAACATTAGGTGTTAAGGTTAAGTATAATATGAGCTGAAGACAAAACTAAGAAGGACAGAGCCCTTCATCTGTAATAAATCAATTTTAATAAATTATTCGTTATTTTCTCAATAAACGATGTAATGCGGATACAAGGGGAAGGACTACTTGCAAAGGTGAAGTACTCCCTCATAGCACAGCAATATATCCACAAAAAAAAATATCATAAATACAATATGTTCGTAAAATTCTTTTAAAATATAAATTACATTTTAAATTGTGATCTAGTTAATAAAAAAAAAATCATTAATAGTAACAATAAGTAAAACATATTATTAGTATCTATACTACTAGAAGCCACCTATTATTTCACATACTTCCTCATTTCATGTCCTAAGAATATAGTAATCTCTTTCATATAATACAATGTAAATTAATCAATTCTAACTTAAATAGTACAACTTAATTTAATTCTAAGGTATTTTCAACCACAAATTATTATTTATAATACTTACGGTATTTTGGGCTTTTCAAAAATATTTTTTTTTATTTCACATAGTTCTATATTGATTAATGTAGAATGTCTTTTAAGATTCTTAAATATGAACTGAAATGATTTTTTTGAGGATTGAATTTCATTTGCTTTAGTAGCCATTGGAAATTTTTTCCGTTCAATAGATAGTTTTTTATAATTTTCTTTTTCATCTTCACTCAAACATCCCCACAATTTTGCAAGTTCTTTGCTTACTTTTGTAAAATCCATTCCAGGATTTTCTTTAAGAACTATATAATTAATAAAATATATTTTAAGATTAGTTTTCCTTTAATTATAACTTATAAGACAGCTATTCTTAAACTGTGGTCTGCAATATTCATGCCAGGGTTTATAGTCCGTGGTCTATCAGTAAATATTGATTGTGATAACATGAGATATTTTGTAAAAAAAATGGTATTCAAAGGTAAAAATAGGGGGTCCGCGATTTCTAAAAGTCTTTCATGTGCACTAAAAGTTTAAGAACTGCTGTCATAAGGAATATAAATACTTTTTATTCTCATTTCCTTGGCGAAAAATGTAAAGCCTGACATCTCTTTGTTTCCCATTTGACTGCTAACACTACGAGCGGTTTCACTAAGGACTTCTTCAGAAATATCTGGATTACATGAATATAAATTTAATTGATTAATTAATATGTGTATTTATCAGTGTTAAATTAAATAATTAAGAAAGGGTAAATTTTGTTCATAACATATAATATTTTTTGAATACAATATTAAAATATAAAAATACCTCGTATAGGTCTTTTTGATCTTGGTTGAGGCATCCATGATTGTGGTCTATTAACTAAATGGTTCAAACCAGGAACTTGTTCATCAGGAATAGAAACCATACGAAAAAGAGGTGCTAGTTTTGTACTACTATGTAATGTAGTATCTGGTATATAATCTTTAGTAGTTTTTTTTTCAATTGGAACAGATAAATTATTATCTATTTTAACTAGTTCATCCTTTTGAGGTTCTGAAAAATTAACATATTTTATTTTATTGAACAAAATATCAAATATCATCAAGAGTTAATTCTGTGTGAATTAGTAAAAATTATAGAAGTTATTATATAAGTTTAATACATAAATATTAAATATAAATACTAAATATAAGTCTTCTCTTCTTTATCTTCTCCTTTATCCTAGTACAAGTGGGGTCACTACTCTTATTACACAATTACTTCAACTACTACACATACCTTCATATTTCCCTCAACAATTACTAATTACTTTGTCTTTAGTCTACTTTTTCTAAGCTACCATCTACACTTGACTCATGTATATGGACTTTACATGTCCATATATAATAATTAATTAAATTATTTTACCTGTTTTACTCACTATTTCTAAATTTCATCTTATATATACATTTTTAATCCCCTTCAATCTAGTGATAACACCCATCCATTTTAACATACTTATTTCTACCATTTCCATTTTTATTTCAACTCTTATCCAATGCCCAATGCTCAAATCTATACATCATCATTGATCTTAGAACTAGTTTAATAATATTTCCCTTTTACACGATAACCTTAATCACACAACGTTTTTAATTGCTTCCCCTTTATCAAGCCATAACTAATTCTACATATTCTAGTACAAGTTAACTATTCTCTTATGTGACTAGACTTGAATACTTGAACTTCTTGGATCTACTTATAATTAGATGTCCATCCTTACTCCATAACAACCTTCATTATATCTAACTTTTACCAAACCTGAACTAAAAAACTCTGTTTTAATGTACATCACAATTATAATAATTAATATCATAAATATTCAATACCATCATTTAGACTGTTAGACTGAAGAATTTCACTTGCTTTAACAATTTTATGCAATGTATTTCTTTCTAAGGTTTCATTTGAAATATCAGCTTTTATTGATACACCGCCCTAAAAATATACTTACACATAATATATACAATAATACATCTTTCAACACAATAAAACACAGAAATACCTTCAATGATTTTCCATTTAAAATTACATCACCTTTACTCCATTGAGAAATAGATATATTTTCAGCATTCAAATTATTAACATTTGCATTATCACATTGAATTGATTGAAGAGGGATATTTTTTGTTACATTCATTAATTTTTTACGATACTCTCTTATATCATCAATTTTATTTTCATCGTTATTTTCAGAATTTTGTTTTTTATCTTCTTTATTTTCGTTTGATGTAAATGGCTCTTCAAAATCAATTTGTTCTAACCTTAAGTGTTCAATAATTTCTGAGTGCTCATCTTTTGTCATTTCAGAATCAAACGAATTATCATTAATAATTTTCGTTGATTCAGCATTAGGTATAAAAGAATTATTAATTTGTGACATTACAACTGTAGATTTTTTCGTTATAAATTCTTCTGAATCTGAGGATGATTTTCTTTTATTTTTTAGATGTGTTTTTGTTATATCTGTATTAATTTCTAGTTGATCATTCTCTACAGTATCATTGTAATAGTGTTTGTTAATACAATTTTTAAGATTAAGCAATATCTTATCCTGAAAATGAATTTTTATTTATATTTAATATTAATATGATTACTTGCCATTTAATTTAAAAATTGTATTGTGTACCAAAAAAATTAGATTATTGAAACTTATAAGTAATATAATGATTATAATTAGTTTTATACTGAACTTGATTATGGAACAATATTCGACTTTTGTCTGGTTCCAAATTTATATCAATAGTATCTGATGGAACAGTTATAGATAAAAAACATGGCAAATACTTGCCTGGAGGTAAATAATGACCAAAATAATTACTGAACTCTCCAACAATTAACTAGTTAAATTATTTATTTAAAGAAAAAAGAATTAATACAATTGAATTGAACATATTCATGAATATGTGTTCTTACTTTTTCAATTTTATTATCCCGCACAGGTCTCTTGTTAACATATAAATAAATTGCATCAGCAATATTCGTTGTAAAAAAACAATTTTGCACATCTATATTTTGCATTGGTAAAACCATGTCAATGTTTACCTAATGTTATTTAATGAATACAATAATACAAAACATATATTTAAATATCAAAAAAACAAACATAAAACTAACCTCTTCATTTGAAAATGTCAATTGTTTTACATATTTATACATTGAAGATGACCAAATTTGTCCAAACATTATTGTTAAGTCATTAACTGGCGTCATTTTCCATAACACTGATTTATTATGAACTAACGAAACACGTAAATCTTGTTGAATAGCTGCTAATGATTTAACAACATTTTCCACTCTACGTAAATCATTAATACAATTTTTTTTTGAACTAAAATACTGTTTGCGAACGGGCAACTTTTTGAAAAGATTGACTATAGTAATAATAGTGCCTGTTATAAACAAAATAACTATTAAAAAATATATCATTTCATAAATAATAATCAATGTTTATTTTAGTTTCTAGTTAAAATATATTTAATGTACCATTTTGATGATGACTAACTGAACTATTTACCACATGCCCATTACTGTCCATTGTGAATGTCATTGCATATTTATCAAATTTTGATTTTGTAATAACAGTTACATCAGCTACAGCACAAATAGAACTAAGTGCTTCACCACGAAATCCGTAACATGTTAATTTTTCTGTTTCAAATATTAAATAATCATCAAGATAAACAATTAAATATAATAATTAACATTGTTGTAAAGTACATACCTAAATCGGTTATGCTAGATATTTTAGAAGTGTAATTACGCAAGCACATTAATTGCACGTCACTGTGTGAAATTCCAATACCATTGTCACGTATTTCAATCTTGTCTAGACCATAATTTTCCTGTTCATTCAATTAAAAAATAGTAGTTAAATTTACAACATATATCAAATCAAATCATTTTTAATATTATTATTTTACCAAACGTATGTCAATAATTGTAGATTGGGCGTCAATGGAATTTTCCATTAATTCCTTCACTACTGATGATGCTGATGTTATAATTTGGGTGCTACTGATCAGTTTAATTGTATCCGACGACAACTGCTTCATAGGCATGATTTAAAAAGATTTTCACACAAATTCAAACAAAAGTTAAAGTTAACAGAATAACAGATTATAATATGGCTCATAAGATTATGTTTTAATATCAAGCCGCGAGAAATAAAATGGAGTAATAAGTAATTTAATTTAAATTATAACAATAACAATAATTTAAATATCTATATAATAATAACACAAATTTGAATACATGAAAAAGCGCAATCTCTTATCATAGTTGTTAAGATAACAAAGTGAGAAATTCTTTTAGTTGAATCAAAATCCACTGTAAGCACCACACATCTAGGGGACAAATAAAAATAAAACATACAACTCACATACCTCGTTATTTATTACCTTGTAATAGTCAAAAATGAACAAATATTTCATTGAAAAAGCATTTTTTTACAACCGTATTTTTTTGTATACAATTTCATGTACCTATTTTACTATCATTTTTATTAGAAACGTATTTCCTTGAAATTAATTTTTTATCGGAAACAAATTCTTTTTGAGTGATAGTTCAAAAGAAAATATAAGATCGGAAATCAGAATAACTGTGCACACGATTCGAATGACATAGCTATAGATTGTATGGCTATTTAACATAAGAAATTGAAGGCTAAAATTATTTTCCGATGAATTAATTTTCCAATAAGACTTAACAATACTCTATTTCTATACCAGCGGTCCTCACTAGGATTTTAAAAAGGGCCAAATGTATTTTTTTTAAATTACTTGTGAGCAGCATACATTTGTATAATAATTACAATTTTACAATTGTTTACTAAATTTAGTGAAGAATAATAAAATGAGACAGGATATTTCCTTATGAAAGGATATTATAGGAAAAATTTCATAAATGTTTTGTTGAACTTATAATTATAGTTTTAGAATCAATTCATAGTTTTATATTATACAAATCATTCATATTATTATCATAGTATATTAAATTATTAAATTGATATTGATATTTTTTTATTTAGTTTTTGATTAATTTATTTAATTTAATGTTGTTTTAATGTTGATGAACAATACCTCTCTGTTTCTTTTACGATCTTGTTTATGTCTACAGGTGTTTTTGATGTTGGCAACTGCAGTAAATTGTTCAAATGTACATCACTCTAACGATTTTTATGCATGTTAACTTATTAAAAGCAGCTTCACATAAATATGTTGACCCAAAAAATATTAGGATAGCTTTTGCATTTGATAAAAAAGAAGGATATTGATTTTCTTCAAGTGTATTCCAAAATTCCATTACATTATTTTTACCATTAAAAATATCTTTTAATGTCATGTCCTGCTGTATGTAAATTAATTCGCTTTTCAATAAACAAATATTTTAATTCATAATATTAATTTTAAATATTTCTTTTGTAGTTACTGCCCAAAGATTTTCAATATTATTGAAACGACTGTTTATTTAATTTTTTAAAGTACCCAATAGTTCAAGAAATTGTGGATTTAATTTCCACATCAATATCAGAAAAATTGTATTTTCTTTCGTCATTAAATCAAATTTGGAAAAACTTGAAAAATCACTATCAGATACTTCCTCAATGTACATTTAAAGCTTTTCTTTAGAAGCAAAAATCGTACTGATCATGTGCGGGATAAGCCTATTTTCTCCTTGCAGATTGGTTTGAAGTATATTTAAACTTTGAGTTACATCTGCAAGGAATGAAAGTTTATGTTAATGATTTTATTTTAGGAAATTCAGCTTTTTGTTCGTGAATAAACAATTTAATTTCTTTACAATGGGAAAAAAATTGTTCTAAGAGTTTACCTATGTTTAGCCACTGTACTTCAGTATGAAACATAATATCACTGTACTGGGAATTTAGTTTGGAAAGAAATTCTTTAAGGTAATTTAAATCTTTGGCTCTGATGGAACTAACAATTTTTATTGTTTTATTCATGACAACAATAAAATCATTTTGAAATTTGCATAAGTTTTCCTGATGAAAAATACAATTAAAATTGATTAATTTTGGTTAATTTTCTTTTATATAATATATGGTTATTACCAGACTCAGACTTTACAAAAAACATATATGTACCTTAAACATATTATGCAACTGATAGAAAAAAAGATATTTGCTTACATAAAACATAATTGAAAGAATAGTTTATTATAAAACAAGATAAAATGTCACACATCAAAAAAACAGCCAAATTAACATAGTGATGAATTAATAATATATTGCATTATAAATTAAGAATATCCACTAAGTACAATTATTTTTTACTACTATCTCTCAAAAATAAACTTTTTAGATTGTTTTAAATATTTATACATTTTTGTAAAATTTGTATAGTGTCAATTGTTGATAATAAGAATTAATTTCATTACAGTACCTATTCTCTATCTTCTCATTATTTTATGGATTATACACACAATAGTAAAAATTTGTATTTAAGTCTTTATTAAATATTTTTGAATTGGTTTTTTTGCCGTAAAAAAAAAAAAAAATAAGTAAACAGATGTTTTTTTTTTTAAAGTATAGGATTTTTATTCCCTGGAAACTATTAACCATAGCATATTGGGTATTTGTCACACAGAATTTGTAATGAAAAACAAATAAATGGTAATAATAATTATAAAAAAGATGCAGAATGTTAACATCTACAATGCATAATATGAATAATTATATTGGTGATTTCAATTTTTAAACAAGTGTTAGTTGAGGGGTTACAAGTAATGAACTGAAATTATCTTTAGAAGCCTGAATTTTTAAAATTAAAAAATAATTACCTAAATTGATCTAAACTAATAACCTATAAGAACCTTTACTACCAGTAAACTAATATTGAATAAAAGTATAAACTTTGTGTTATTTTAAAATTTAAATTTGACTGATGGTTTAAAAAAATCTGGGACCAATTGTCTTACGTCAATATAAAGGAAAATAAAGGCCAATACCTTGGACAAAACATCTGTTTACCAATGTTTCGGTACATAAATCATAATATAAAAATTGAGTTAAATGCATATTTAATATTCACTACTTTAAATCACCAAAAATGTAATATTACATTAAGAAAAATTATATAACTAATAAAACTACAATGATAAAATGAAAAAATAAAAAATAATTAATAACATAATAAACAAATAATATAGGTATAAAAAAAAAAAATGGCTTTATAACATGAGATCAATACAAATAATTTGTTTATATATTAGAATATGAAATAAAACACAAAAAAATAAATAGAATGTTCAAAACAAATCTAGAAGATTACTAGGTCTTCCAGTAACTTCCCATACAGTAGCCGACAGTCTTCGAGAATGTTCTAAAACACATGAAGCAGTAGCTAATCCCAAATGTACACAAAAAAGTTCAAAACAACGCACTTTTCCTTTTGGCATTCTTGGAAAACATTGCTCTAAAAGTTTCCTAAAGTATGAATTAATTTTAATAATTAATTGATGGAAACTTTAAAAAAAAATATATATAAATTGTACTCACTCGTAATAATCACCATTTAATATACCTGGAAATAGCTCTAAAGTAATTGGTTGAACTCTTGGTTTTAATGAGGTACCCTAAAAATTGAATACACAGTATATAATAAGCCAGAGATAATTATTAATTGAGTATTAATTTTATAAAAGATCAATTGCACAAAATAGATGGAAAATATTATAACCTAAATAAATAAGTATATTAAATTAATCGACAAATAAATTTTTACAGTTTAAAAAAGCATTGTAACACATTTTATTTATTTACCGATTGATCCTCAAACCATAAAAAATACGAGTATGTAAAAGTGCTGTCTTTCCAAAGAACAATAAAATGTCCATCTCTTAAATGCTGTCTACTAAACTCAATCATAGACCATACCTAAATAAAACATATTTAAAATTACAAATAAATAATACAACACTTTAATTTGGTATTGGTTTTTCATACTTTTTTTTTAGTAAGTTCAAGTGTTTCTTGTGATGCAAACTCCAAACCTGGAGCAATCATTCTGTGAGACATTCTATCAACATAAATAAAATGTACAAGACCCGGAAATTCTTCTAAATATTTATTTATATTCAAAGTTGACCTTGTAAAATAAATTGAATTAAAGAAAATTCTCTTAGTTAATCAAATATAATTATATATGAAATAAAAAAAATAAATTGTGAATTTTCAGTAGGATAAAAAAATAAGGCACCTAAACTTGTATAACTAATAATACAGATTATTACTATTATAGTTACAGTTTATAGATAAGTTATAGTCAAGACTGATTTTATACAAGGACCCCCAGCCTCCCACTTCCAAAACATTATTTTTCATTTTTTTCATAAAAATAGTGATGCTGCCACTAAAGTTTTGCCAAACAATCACAAATTATGGTTAACCCCCAAAATCTTTGTTCTAGATCTATGCATGGTACATATTACATTATTTAGTGAATTTCCTACTACAGAATTGCCTAAAACACAGTATACAAGATCAAAATTATTGTATATAAATGGTGATGACAAGCTATTAATATTATAAACTTTGCTGCAAAATGAAACATTTATGCAGGTAAAATGCTTAAAAAAAAAAAATCTGATACTACATACTATGATACTATATAGTATAAATACATACATAAATGTAAAATTAAGTTATAACATACTTAATAATTAATACTATTTTTCATTTTACATTTATTAATACCAGTCTTGGGTAAAATAAATTCAAAAACTATATTACCTTAACTACTTATGGATTAATAAAATTAAAATAAATGTAATGTTAGACAAGTATAATTATTACAAAATTACTTTAGAATTACATGAATAATAAAATGCTTAATATCATAGATTAAATATAATAGTATATTTAAAATATATACTATGGCGCATAAAAATAGAAGAATTATAATATCCTTCAAGAAGTTATTTAAAATAAAAAACAAAGAGATATGCTGAATGGCTATAATGTGTTAAAAATAATTTATTATTACCATTATAATTAATTCATTAAATAGTTGAAAAGGATATGATCTCATTGTAAAATTGTTCATTGCTTTTACTTCAAAAAAAGAAGTATAATCACGTAGCATTACAGCAACCAAGGCAGAAGCTTCACCAACTGCTTCTTTTGTATAGTTGTCAATTAATGATTCATTGAGCATACAATGATGATGTAGATCTTTTAAACTGCATACAATATTTATATTGCTCGAATTAATAGCATTCAAAATTGTACTGTCATTATTTTTGAAGTACTCTAGGTATTTCCTAAAGAATTTTTAAAACATTAAAACTGTTGATAAAAATGTATAATCTAAAATATAATATTGATACTTTTTCAGTGGCTCCCATCTAGTAGCTAAAGTAGTAATAATGGCAAGAACACTCCTAGTTGGTGCGAATGGAGCATTTTTCTTTTTAAACAAATCAATTATTTTTTTCATAGAACAATCAACTGTGTCATAAGTTATTTTAAGTGCTTCACGATCCACAGTTCCTCGACTTTGTATTTCTTGGATTGTGCAAAATGATGTTAAAGAATCTATTACACTAGTATTAAATACATCATTTCCAATCTAAATAACAATATATAATTATTCAGAAAATATAACTTTGAACTTTACCATAATTTGTGTGGACAAACTTTTACCTCATGAATGATAAATAATGGAACTCCATCAGTAATGTATGATAAATGTACAGCATTTAATTTCAATCCATTTTGCCCTAGAAGAACTAGTAAACTGTTGATCTTATTTCGTGGTGTATCTAAATAATATATATTATGTACAGTTAATACTCATAAATGCATTAACTTATAATTTACAAGGCAATACCAATTTCTGATTTAAGTAAACTATCTTTTTCAATAATTATTACATCAAGATCAGATTTATCTTTAGGTTCCAAATCAACAATTTGTATAGCTTCCGCTAAAAGTGCTAAGAATAATGTATCACCTGCAGACAGGTCAGTTGCATTACGGCTAAAACAAAATTTTTAATTTTAAATAATATCAATTCCTTAAAAACTATTAACTGTTTAAAATTTACCTTAAATAAAAAGTAATTTATAAATAATTACATACCTAGAATACAGAGTTAAAAATTTTTGTCGAACCATGATGAGTATATGTACTCTAGAAAAAGCTGATTTAGCTTTCATTTTGTCAGCTGCTGTTTTGGCAGCAGTTAATGCAGCTGTAGAAAGTTCATTACTAACAGTTAATTGTTCAACAGCTTCAATTAATACACATTGTTCTTCTTTTGAACGTATTAACCAAATATCTATAAGTTTAGATACCAGAAAACGACGGCGGCGACTATATTTCAATCTTATAAAATAAACTCATAGAATAATATACAAAAACACACATACAGGGGTATCATAAATTCATAATCATATATTTCTCATAAACTAATAAGTAATAGAGCCGAATAGTAATCAAATTACCGAGCATTAACTTTAAAAACTAAAAGAGCAACTGTTTCAAAAAAATATTATGACACCCCTAGATACATATATGTAAATATTTTTATAACTTAACATATAGGTATTTAACTTACAATGAAACATCAGAACCACAAATTCTTTTTATAAATAAAATTGATACACTAAGTACTTTTTGTTGCCAAGACACTTCATTGTCACCTATATATATGAAAAAATGACCTAGGTACTGTAAAACAATTCAATTATATTTTATTGAAAAAACAAGTATAAATAGGTAATAATTGTATGGTTAATTTATTTACCTCATCAAAAACAATATTTGTTCCATTATGACATTGCATTGAACTGTATCGATTAGAAAAATGACAACTCATAATCTTTTGTGACGTAATCATAGGTGAAAAAATCTGGAGTATTAAGTCTGAATCAATTATTGTACTGTCTTCTTTTTCATTCTTGAATAGATAATAATATAAAATAAACAAATATTCATAAAAAATACTATTGATAAATCTACTAAAATAATTTAAATTAATTAAAATCGTACTATAACTGTAATAGTTAGTTTAATTATATGTTTATTTAATTATAATTAAGTAAGAAATTAAATATACAATTTCTTAAGGAAAATATATAGTTTATCTAGAATACATGTAGGTATATAAATGTACTCTTTGGAAAAATTAACTTTGAAAGATTAGCTTCAGTAAATAATATATAAACAATAACCTCGCTTGGTTTAATAAGGCCCAGAGAAATGCCAATTTTCCGTATGTGCACACAAAATGTTGTGTCACATTTCATAAAAACAATGTCATTTAAATTATCAAACACCATTAAACAACGCATGATTATTCAGATTATTTTTAAAACCTGCCGGAAGTCGAATCACATAAACTAAAGACAAAACTTAACTTTTGTATACGTTTAGAGCGGTTAGGTAACTTCAAGAATTCAGAGCATAGATAAAACGTTCAATATCGAGTGTCAACATAAATATCTATGCAATTATTATGTCATGAATATCAATAACAATAATTTATTTAACAAACGTCCTCTGTAAAAAATATATTATATAACACAAATTATCACAGAATAATATCTATAAGGATGTTCGACTGGCAATATTTAATAAGAGAGCCCCTAGTGGTTCCCAAAATGCGTAAAAATCGCTATAAAGGCGGTAAATAGGCAATAAATATGTAGAAATGGAAGATATGAAGATATTTTGAAGACGCTTAAAAAAATTTAAGTAACTTTGTACGTATGTATCTCAGTAATCCGAAAAAGTCGGATTAAAAATAGAAGGAAATTCGAAGCACCCCATTTTCTTTCATCAAAATTTAGATGGAAATATGTACTTTAAGACAGAGTGGTCGGTTAAGCACATTTCGTCCCGGAACAGTCTTTTTACGGGCCCGACAATAAATGGATGACAGTGACGTGTGTCGCAGTAATCCGAACGAGGTGGTCGACTTTGAGGCACGTTTGAGAATAGAACGAAATTCGGGGCACCCCGTTTTCTTTCATCAATATGAATCACGAGACGTGTACTTTAAGATGGAGTGGACGGCTCGATTGTTCAGTCATAAATATTAGGAAGAAACACATTAAAATAATGCAATTTCCAAACGCAATTCCGAATGTGTTCCGGGAAGGTTACGGTCTCGAACTGTATACCAAAATAATTTGTTCGACCTTCTCTTTGAACTGGAGTGTTAGAACATTTAATTTTAAAATTATCTTTAACATTAAAAAAAAATATAGTACCACCAAGGTCGTTTGCCTTTAATAGAACTCATTAATTGAATAAACGAAGAACGTGAATGTAAAACTCCTAATGTTAAATAATCATTTAACTATCCCATTGTAGATGGATATCATCATAATGGGCCTTTACCTGAAAATATTTATTGTGATTCAAATGTTCAATATTCGACTTTATTTCAAACAAATTTATTATACGGGTAAAAAATGTAAAACGAAAGTATCATAAACGAGATGACTGTTTAATTGACATCTAATAAAATGGATACAGTTAAAAATATTATAAATAAAAATGGAGATATCTATATATTCATGATTTGTTCTATATTTGAAAAAAATGTCTCAATTTATAACATCGCGTGTTATTCAATGTTTGTCGGAATGTATGAATGTAGTAAACTATCATCTACATTATAATTTTATCATGTGAATAATATTAAATTTAAATTTCTGTTATTTTCTGATTACCAATGTAGTTCCACATTCAAATTTCCATATATGTGCATTATTACATATTAATAATTAATTGGTATACCGTAGTTATAGATTAAAATAATAAAATCGTATACTTACTATAGTAATAATGATATTTATTTTTCTAGCAATTATGAAGACCTTTTTGATTGTTTCTTTGGTTGTCAATGAAAATATAATATCAATCATTTCAAAATCATGGATAATTATTAAGGAGTTAAGAGATCAAATAATTGGAAATTTGTATGAATATTATTAGCCTACAGAAAATGGACGAATAAAAATTGAATAATGTGTTGAAGTAAATCATAGTTGGGATGAAAAACTTGGTCAGGTTTTAGATAAAACTGGTGAATTAGTTTTATGTGCTTTAGGATAATTATTTAATGTACGATTCTTTCACTATTGTTATTATTCAAGTTATTAATCAATGAAATCGTTGTATAATATATATAAATTGCATAATGTAGGCTCAAATATTTTGTTCTCTTTGGCAATGTTATAGTTAATACCTATGCAATTTCAGTTTGAATACAAAATTTTTATTTCAATACAATAATTTATTTTTAATCAAATATTTGTATTTTTACAAGTTTTATACGAAAATATACGTCATAATATTTTTGGATACCTACGTGTTATCTACGTGCTACGTTCAATAAACGTAATTGTAAATATTCATTAAACGTAGAATATCCTTGTATTATACATCTTTTGGCTTAAAAATAAACTAAAATTAAACTAAATGTATACTGAATGTTTAAATAATATAATATACGTACACTTGATGTATATTATACGTTTTATAAATGTATAATAAATTGTTTAAAAAAAGAAAGATTTGTTTAAACATCCGCTATAGAATTTTAAAATTCTTAATTTTTTGCTCTTGGGTAGACAACTTATTATACTAGTAGCAGTACAATTACAGGAGTTTAATAGGCAACATTGTATACAAATTTGGGAAACACTGGGCCTTCTTATCAAATATTTCTAGCAGAACTTACGTAATATTATTATATAATGAATTATGATATTAATGGGCAGGGCAGCCACTGATGTGTATAAAAACTATAGAGATAGCCGACTCCCAATACATCAATGCATACAAAATTTACGATGACCAGCGCCATTCGTCAATCGGGCATTGTTTACAAATTCTTATCAAAAAAAAGTCTCCGTTAATGAGATTCATTTTTAATATTATATAGTAGTCGTTCCCATAGAACTATATATTATATTATGTCATTTACCATGTATAGTTCAATGGTCGTTCCTAACATCATATTTTTCAATTTTGTTATCAGTCCGTCACTTTTATTCCCCCACAGATTGACAGCAATGAACTGACAGTTATAAATAATATTCTAAATTGCTTATAGCCGTATGGTTATTACCTACTGTATTATAAACCTTGTAGTACTATGGAAATTAGTGTAACCGTAATTTGTAATTTGCCGTCATTAATGTCATTTTTTTAGATTGATTTTTCAAGTAAATTTTGTAATAATTGGACAATAATACAGTACGGTAATAAAGCATAGCAATAACGGAAAAATGTAATGAAATTAATTATTTTTTTGTATTCAATACAAAAAACCTTGTATTCAATTTTGGTTTCTTAAAGTAATAAAGTTAAAAATATACCCAGACTTGAAATTTTGATGTAAAATTTCATTTGCCTTACATGGACGTGTTAAAATTTTAAAATTATTTGAGCCATTTTTAGCTACCCATTTATAGATATTTAAATTTTTTTCGAATATTTACGCAGGTAATTTTTATTAGGCAGGTGCTTTGAGGAAATAATGAACTTAACAGAAATGTTTGAAAATTTGACACGAGGTTCACTGTAAGTTGAACTTAAGGGTTAAAACAAAAAAATTGATCGTTATAAGGTATTTTTTATTTTTTTATTAGTTTTAAAATAAAATGTTGACAAATCTCGTAAATATTACGGCCTTTTAAAATATGTATTACCGAACTCCGCTCTGAATCGTTTTTCGTTAGCCAATGGTTTATCGTTGTTGTTTATAGATATAAATTTAAATACCTGCATGTTTACCAAACAAAAATTTGTGAGTTTTTCGCAAACAAATAGACATAACCCTATACACAGGTTTGTACGAAAAATATAGTAATAATGAAAAATTTGTATGCATAATTCGTAAAAATAACGAACTTTTGGTTTTTAGTTTATAAATTGTATTTTATTTCGTGGTTTTTTTCCAGAATCCGTTTTCGGTTTCGACAAGACGTGACCTCATCCATCAGAAATCACTGATCTCATGGAATTTGTGTTAATCTTACATAGGAAACCTATAAAATAACCGAACTGTATTTTAGCCGAACATGAAATTATCAAAATATATTACCGTCGACAGTATTTCGGCCGAAAATAAAACAACTGAACATATTATTTCAGCCGAAACGCACGAAACTCTTCTAATCATGGACTTTGGAATTTCTTATCATTGTTTTTAATCAGACAAATTTGAAGTTTGAACGTTCAAAAATTGAAAAAATTGCAAAAACTTGCAAATTTTGAGTCATAATTTCCAAACAATCTTGAACAAACAAAAATAATAAAACTATGACATTTTGAATATTTTCTATGATAAAAATATATATTATTTAATTAAGTTTTAAATTATTATTATCTTTAATTTCAACCATTTGTAAGCATTTTAATTATTCAAATGTAGGTAAACATCCACTTACACATGTTACGGACTAAGGTATGTCTGTGTCGGATTTATTGCCAAAACTAAATCAATACATTTTCCAATTAATTTCTTTGATTCAAAATTCAAAAAACAATTAACATAGAGATTAGAGATAGAAATGGGTCGTTTTTCATTTTCAAATAATATACAAAATTTTTTTTTATTTTATTTAATTCTTATCACACGTTATCGTTTTTTGAAAGATCTGATATATCTGACGAAATATTCTCGGCTCAAATATTTTTCGGCTTAAATACGGTTTGACCAAAATTATTTTCTGTTTGAACAGTAAATATAATTCAGCCGAAATATTTTCAGATTAAAATACTGTTCGGCTGATTTATATTCGGTTTTTTTTACGTGGTTCCTTTTATATAACCCATGAAAAGCATGGAAGATTTTGGTTGATTTTAGTGATAGTGTAACGAGAATTGATTGGCTGGTCGACAAAGTGATAATGATTTTACGTTGAATTTAAGTTTTAACGGTCAGATGGATACGTTAAAAATCATGGAGTTATTGTATACTTTTTATTGACTATTGTACACAGTAGTCTCCATTTTGTGGTTGTTCGTACGTTAGGCGTCTGAACATAATTATAATTGATGTAATTTATAACAATTTTTTAATTTTACCTTACACATTTTTTGACTTTGTAGTTGTTAGATTTGAGAAAGAATTATAATGGCAGACAATCTTTTTCAAAAAAAGAATTCACCTAATGAAAAACCCATTGAAGTATTCGTCAGAGTGAGGTAAATTGTATATAACACATTAATAATAATACAATATTATAATATTTTGTTAAATCTTACTTAATAGTGTTTCTCCTAAACATTATATTTACTTACTATATAAGTACTACCTACATAATTTCGTTTGTTGAAATTTGATGAAATACCTAAGTATTGTTCAATGTGTGTGTTTCCTTGTACATATAAATACCTATGAGACCTGGGTTTCATGTAATTATTTAAATTAATTCACATGGATAGTTTAAAATTACCTAGTGTTGTCCAGTTAATTACTTAACAATAATTATAATAATAAAGATAATGATTCTTAATAATTATAATTAAGAGTTTAAGTTAAAAAAAATAATGAATTGTATTAGTATTTGACATTAATATTGTATCAATGTTTTCCTAAACCTAACTTTGGTTTGGTAAAAATCACCTGTATTTCCAGACAATTATTAATTTGTCTTTAAAAAATTATTGGAGTAAATAAAATAACCATATTCTCAATGATAATTATATTAAGTGAATAGATTTAAAAAGGCACTATTTTTGTTCAGTATATTTATGATAGATAAAAGAATAATCTTAATTTACATATTATGTTTAAAGGCCTATGAGTGATGCAGATAAAAGTAAAGGTTTACCAGTTGTAGATGTTTCAACAAACCATAAAGAAATAAGTGTAACAGAAAAAACAGTTTTAGCTGATCGTCGGACCAAAACATTCCATTTTGATAAAGTTTTTGGACAAAATTCAAAACAAGTACTTATCAATATTTTATTTTATTTTTTTATTATTTATTTGCTTACTTAAATTTTGATTTTGTTTAGGTTGATGTTTATAATAGTGTTGTTTATCCACTTATTAAAGAAGTATTAGATGGCTACAATTGTACTGTCTTTGCATATGGACAAACTGGTACAGGTAAAACGTTTACCATGGAAGGTGAAAGGTTAAATGGCCAATCATCAATATCTTGGAATGAGGTAATTGTCTTTAAATAACAGTAACTTTAAAAATATTAGTTGAATACAATTCCTTTATATATTTTATGGAATTAGCCTAATTATTTATAAACAATTTTAATTATTTAATGATGATTCAATGTAAGTTGATGTACCTATAAGTTGATTTTGTTTTGTTTTAAGCATACCCCTAAAGACATTAATTTAATACAGTGTACTCATTTGTTCAAGGTTTTAAACATATTATAAGACTTGAATAGTTGTTGTATAGTTAAAACTCATAGTAGTAAAATCAGTTTTTAAAATATTAATATTATTTAAAATTTGGCTGTTGATTAGGTACTGATAAGTGAAATAACGTGTGTAAATACAGATTACTGTTGTATTTTTTAGTGAACTAATTTAATTAAATAACTTGTTATGTATCAATTTGTATTTAGTAAAACTTTGATTATCCGTGTTCCTAATTAACTGCTCAATCTTCCGAAAATATTTGTATGTACCAAAAGTAAACTTATAGGCACAGTAGTAGTACATTTTATATTAAGAATGATAAATAATGATAATTAATTATGGGTCTGACAAGTAGGAAAAATTTAAAGAAAATCATTTCAAACCACAAAAAACAAATACTGATTACTTAATATTTTCAAGCACTAATAAATTTATAACATGAAAATGTACAAATTTATGCATAAGATTTAATATTGTTTATTATTGTAATTCGTTAAATAATAAGTCTTGATTAACTATGGTTTACATTTACCTGTGTGACCCTTATTCACCATTACCCTGGATAATGAACGTTCTATTGTATATTAATTTATTTGAATTGTCTATTTAATATTTCTGTATAGGTATATCAATTTACTTTACATTTTAGAAATACATATGTATATTAAATACTATTAACTATTTGTTTAATTATATTATTCCAATAACATAAGGATCCAGTTTCGGGGATTATTCCGCGTGCCTTGAGTCATATGTTTGATGAACTTAGAATTTATGCCGTTGAACATACAGTTAGAGCATCATTTTTGGAACTTTATAATGAAGAAATTTTTGATCTTCTTTCATGTTCAGAAGATCCATCACATAAATCTCTAAGGTTAAAAAAATCCCCCTAATAAATTTTATTATTTTTTGAAAACTGAAAAAAACTATATTCATTTAATTTTAATACAGAATTTTTGAAGAGAAAAAAGGATCTGTTATTGTACGTGGATTAGAGGAAGTTATTGTTAGCAATAAAGATGAAGTTTATAAACTACTCGAAAAAGGATCAAAAAGACGACAGACAGCTTCTACATTAATGAATGCTCAGTCCAGGTAATAATATACATTATTATCTTAATAAGCGTGGAATGTATTAGTTTTAATATGATATATATATATTATATATTTTAATGTGCATAAACAACTTTACCAAAAGCAAATTTTATCTAATTTGTACATTGTGGAGGTTATTGATTTTTCTTGTACTTTTTTAATAATTAGGGTAATTTACTCAACATTGTCTGTTATTCTCAATTTTTTTTTAGTGTATTCTGTTAAAAATATTTATATTAGCTCAGAATATTTTGAAAATTTTATTCAGATATTTTAAATTTTTATTCGGTTTTATGTGGATGCAATTATTTTGGCCTAGTTAATTTTATTATAATGTTTATGTTATATATAGTGGTAAAACAAAAAAAAAAAAAAATAACTACTTTATGAATATTTACAATCTTAAAAATCATGGAATTCTTTATGTTCTATTTTCTGATTTATGTGAATAAAATTTGTTTATTGCAGCTAGTACTTAGTGGTGTAAAAAAAAATAGTTTTGAATAACGTACTAATTTTTTTTTATAAGGTTTTAAAGTACAAATTGTTTTATGAAATTGTAAGAATTTCAGCATTTTTAATATGTTTGTCACTACTTTGTTTAGAATTATTGAGTGTTTTTATAATATTATTTAATGAGACATCAACATAAATTATTATATCTCAACAATTTGGCTTACAAATTAAGTATAAAACTGATTACCTATTTAATTATTATTTCATTATTGGAGGAAAAGGCATTGGAACAAGACAAATTTAGTTAATTAGAAAAAAAAAAACAATTTTTCATTTTTCGTTAGTAATGATTTATTGTTGTTTATTGACTTAAATTTAATTACCGGATACAAAATGATCAACATGAAATAGACAACCTATTTATTTATTTTTTATGACATTTAAGAAACAAGCTACTCTAAATGTTACATAACAGTTATTTAAAGGGGTAAACCATGAGTAAAAGTAGGTGTACAACCATCATAAGAATATAAAAAAGTACACATCATTAAAAGTCTGATGTACAAAAAATTGACTCATGGTTCATCATTATCTAAAGGTAAGTCATGAAACAACTACCCACATTTTTAAATATCAAAATTTATTAAAAATTCCACAAATAGATGATGTTTTAATCTAATAAAATGTATGCAAATTTGTATGTTAACATGAAGTAAATATTCTACTTTTAAATTTGAATAGGAAAAAAGTAGTGCAACATAAATTGTGTAGTGGTGCAATTATGCCCATTTAAATAGTATTCTATTATTTTATGCCTACCCACAAAGAGGCAAACTTAAAATTGGAATATCTCATCAACATGTCGTTGGAAATTAAAAACACCAAAATATATGTTAACTTTAACTTCATTTTTTAAATTTTTTATATAGGTTACAATTTGAAAATCAAAAAATAATTAGTTAAAGAGCTGCTTGTTTCTTTTTTAATGTTCTAAAACAACTAATTTTGAAAAATGTTTGTTAAAAGAAATAACAGTTTTTTATTTTTAGATTCATAGTATTTTATTTTCTGTTTGTGAACAACTTTTCTACCAGAAATCTTTGTCCGAAGTATTGTTCTGATCAAAAAATAACAAGAGATCAATTTTGTCCCTTTTCTATACACAGTCACTGACTACGAAAGTCATTTGATAACTAAAGTAGTTTTTATTATGTAAATGAGAAAAACCTCAAAAAGATGAAAATACAATTTTTTTTTTTTAAATTATGGCTGAACGATTCCATTATTTAAAATGTATTTTTATTTAGTAGGTATCTGTTATTATAATTATTAGACTCAAGAGAAAAACTTAGAAATTTAATTTTAATGCATAATTTTTTTTTCGTAATTGCTTTAAGATCAAATTTTGATGAAAATTTTAAAAATTATGATATTTCAAAATATGTCTTATGAAACCTCTCACCAAATCCCTTTTCATTAGCAATAATTTATCGTTGTGTATAGATAAAAATTAAATAATATTTATATAAGTTTTCATAATTGCTTTTTAAATCAGAATTTTTATTTTCGTAGCCGTTCTCACACTATATTCACTATAACTGTCCACATTAAAGAGTCTACAATTGAAAATGAAGATATTGTTAGGGTGGGAAAGTTAAATCTTGTAGATTTAGCAGGAAGTGAAAACATTGGACGATCGGGTGCAATTGATAGACGTGCTTGTGAAGCTGGAAATATCAACAAGTCTTTATTAACATTAGGTCGTTGTATCACATCACTTGTGGAACAAACTCCCCATGTTCCATACAGGTAAATAAATTTAAATAGATAATTTGATAATGGATTAATATTTTAATTTTATATTATTATATTTCTATATTGCTATAGAGAGTCGAAACTTACTCGTTTATTGCAAGATTCATTAGGTGGTAAAACAAAAACATCTATAATTGCTACTATATCTCCATCACATTGTAATTTGGAAGAAACCATGAGCACTTTAGATTATGCTTCCAGAGCTAAAAGTATAAAAAATAAGCCTGAGGTTAATCAAAAATTCACAAAAAAAGCATTAATTAAGGTAAATTCTTTGTTGATTAGTTATTTTTTAATGCTATGTTTTTAATATTAATCAATATTTTTAGGAATATACTGATGAAATTGAAAAACTTAAGCGAGATTTGGTGGCTACAAGGGATAAAAATGGAGTTTATGTAGCTGAAGAAAATTATAATGATATGATATTGAGATTAGAAAGAAATGAAATTGATATTTGTGAAAAAATTGCCACAATAAGAGCTGTTAATGAAGAATTAAATAAAAAAGAAGTATGGTTTTTTATCAATTTTTTATTTTGTTTGACCTATTTATAAATAAATATTCCTATCACTTAGGAAATTATGAGAGAATTAAAAGTAGATTTAATAAGAACAATGGACGAACGTGACAGAAGAAACAGTCTTATTATTAAACTTGATAAGGAAGCAACAAACTTAAGATCATTGGCTGAAATATATGAAAATGACATGAAATTACTTCATGATAAAATAGAACGTACTATGTATGTTTAATTTTTGGTTTATTTTATAATGTATTTCAATATCTGTTTATTTGTGGTGACAATTATACTAAAATTAATAGGTTTTGATGTGATTAAGTGCCTAGAAAAATATTAGTTTATTGAATAATATTTAAATAAGAACTCATCCTCCATCTACTACTGTGAGTTAGAATAACATTTTCTAGTTTAGAAAATATAAGCTGTATAAGTCAAACAGTTTTAGATAAAATATTAATATAGAAAACAACCTTAAAAAATACTTGTAAATTTAGGTTTAGATTAATCTTACACCAGTATATGTTTACATAAAAAAATCATTTATCCTTTGTGTGTTTTAAAATAGTTAATCTAAATTTATTATGAGGTCTATCTTCTAGAATTTAAAAAAAAAAAAAAAAATTTTTAAATGTTACCTACACTTGACTTATAAAACAGTGCTCATCAGTGCTTATTTATTTAAATAGTTTTTTTTATAATGCATTTATAAGTAGACAAGTTTTTGTAATGGTTTATTTAAATATCAACTTGGTTCGTATCTTGTCAAAAAAGTATTGTTGAAAGGTACATTTAGTTATTTGACAACATTGCCAAAACACTTAGTTCACTAAACTAATATCCAGGTTCTCAAAACTACATTACCAAAACACCCTTAATTTTAGTAAAAATGATTATATTAAGTATTTTTATTTAAAATCTAGTGATGTAGAAAAAACAAACGAATCAGCACTTGAAAAATTAAAAAACCGAGTAATTGAGACAAATGCATCATTTTCAAATACATTGTCATTGTTTGAAAATAAATATAAAGAATATTTAGATTCACAAGATAAAATTAACGGTAATTTATTATTTAGTTTGTATTATATAATTTATTCAAATGAACATTTTTATAAATTGATATTTTAGGTCATATGCTTAACCAAAATACTTCACTTGTAAATGATCTGAAAGTTGTTATGAAAACTGTGAATGAACACAATAGTTCAACTGTTGATGTTTTCTCAATTATGAAAGAACAAGTAAATTTAAAAAATTGAACTTAATAACCTAACCTAACATGGTCGGGGTATAATCTTAAATTAATATTTGTATTATTATTATTATTTTTTAGATAGTTGGTATATTGAACGGAGGTGAATCTGAAAAGAATAAATTAAATGAAATACTTGATGACTTACTTAAAGAAATAGAACTAGTAGAATCTTTTATTTTAAAAAAATCAGATACAATAAGTATTGTTACTGCATCAGTAGATTCGTATCATAATGCAATTTCAAATCACATTAATGAGGTACTTGTTATATTGATTAACATATTTTTAATTCATTGCCACTGAAGTAAATTAAAAGTAGTAATCATTGTATTTAAGGTATACATTACACATATTGAATTAGGAAGAATTAAACACATTTTGCTATTATTTTTAGCTTGATTTGTCTAATTTTTTTGATCATATTAGCAATTACTATACTTTTTAATTTTATTGGTTTTGTGACTCACTTACTGAATACTTAAAAATTTATAAACCTTGTATTTTTAGGTAAAATCTTACAATAACACAATAAATGGAGTGCTGTGTGAGGTAAAATACCGTTTGGCTAATCAAAGTGAGCATTCTAAATCCATTGAAAACTTTTATATAAACCAGTTGAAAAAATGTTATGAACTATTGGAAAGTGAAAAACAAGAATCATTGAAAGTAAATTATTTAATAATTTAAACAAATACAAACTATTTAATACATGTATACAATTTTTTAGAAAATTCAAAAACTTAAGAATGATTTTGTCAACTATAACTTACAATGCCAACAATTCAGTACAAAATTCTTAGATGATATTACAAATGCAGAGGATACAAAATCCTTTGATGAACTTAATAACAAATTTAAAACCCAAACTTTAGAAATGTCTGAAATGTTAACAATTCAAGATAAAGAAATTAAAGACATGGAACCATGTTTAGTATCGTTAGAAAGAATACATAAACAAAATGCTGAATTACTTGAACCAATTGAACATCTTACAGATGAGGTACATATATTAATTATTTTCGCGTATAACAAATTGCTATTATTTTTATTAACAATAATTTCTTAATATTTTTCAAATTTTGTTTCAATGATTATTTACTTATTTTTATAATATTCTATTGTTTTAGAATCGTTCAATTGTAAATACTATAGTTGATGGAGCTAAACTAAAAGAACTAGCAGACAAATGTGCCAATAATAAAAAAGTACTTTCAAAGTTTTCAGTTTCTATGAATGAAAACCTAAATCATATGAATCAAAAAATAAATAAACAAGTAGATACTGTTGGTGACAGTATTTTGGTAAATTATTTTATTTATAAGATAAATCAAAAATTAATTAAATATTAATTGTGTTTATTATATTTATTAGAAAACTGCTAAAAATGTATCTGACACAGTTGTTGAAGCTCATAAATTACTAAATGATTTTGAAACCATTTCAAAAGAATTTAACAAAGATTGTTGTGTTCTTAAAGAAAAACAGGATGATTGTGTGGGTACTGGTACTTTATGTGTTAAAGAAGAATTCTTTAGACAGGAAACAAATATAAACATGTTCTTAAATGAATCCAAGCAATGTATCCCGATAGGTATGATTATGAAATTTAAAAAATACAACTCTATATGGTCTAAAACATTTCGCCGTGAAGTAGTTTTTAAATTCTAACTAGTTTACTGTTATTACCGTTAAAAATTATCATTAAAATTTAACCAACCAGAATTAAATAAATAATAGTAAAAATAATTATAATTTTTTAAGTATGTATTTATTTTATTTGAGAATATTTTATTATATTCACTGTCTTCAAGTTTATGTTTTATATTATGTCAAACACAATATAATCACCTAAATGTTTACTGATAAATTCTATCTAACATAAGATTAAATTAACCGATTAGATTAATGAAAATAATATTATATAATACACACAGAAAAAAAAACAGATATCAGATTGTGTTGTAATTAATATTACAATTTTCAATATAATACCTAAAATCTAATACAAATGTTAAACATATTCAATTCATCTTACTTAAATTATGGTCTATTCTTCACAGAAAACTTAAAAATTACAATTGGCAGTTGACCATCTAATACTATGAGCATTTATAACATTTCAAGAGAATACAAAGTGACATCTTCTTACATAAATTATAGAAATAGGCAAAAGTTTGCCATAAAAGAAAAATAAATATATATCAACATACATATTTTTAAATTAATCCGCGACTATGATAATCATAATATTAGGAGGTTTTTGAGAGGAACATCTTTCAATTTATTTTATTTTTTCTATATGTATTATAACATTATTTTAATTTATCTAATCGGTTCATTTAATTGTATGACGTTAGAATTTATCAGTAAGCATTTAAGTCTGGCTTTATATGAACCGAAATAATGTAAACTATAAACTTGAAGATAGCAAATATAATAAAATATTCTCAAATAAATATTTATACACTTTCATAATATGACAATCATTTGTACTATTTTTTGTTTGTTTACTAACTAGATTAAAATTTAAAAATTATTTTTTATGTTGAAATGAACTCTCACACCAAAATTTCCAACATTAAGTTTATATTTTTAATTAATTTATAATAGGAGATACGCCAAAGCGTAAACAGTTTGATTATCCAGATAATGTTAATACAACATTGAGGCGAGAAATAACTCAAAGCTATTTAGTAGATTATAGTGAATCAGTAATAAGTTTGATGTCGTCTTCATCGGAGAATTCTAGCCAATCCTCTTTGAATGGCTTAGAATCCAATTTACCATCAAAGGAAAATAGCCCTAAGGCAGTTGTTAAGGTGTCTAAGGTAACATAATATAAATATTAAATTGTTTATAATATTCAAATTACAACCATTTTTTTTTTTTTTAGAAACATGAAAACAAAAAGTTTAGGAAACCTAACAAAGTATTAGGGGAAAGAAATTAAATTTTGACAAGTGTAAATAAATTAAAAATATCTTATTGTTTAATAAAACATTAGCAAGTAAGGTAATTAAATTGTTAATCAAATTGAATTGTAATTTTTTTTTTTACTCCGAATTATTTTAATTAGTTTTATATTTAGCTTGTAAAAGAATTTGTGTCTTGTAATTTTTATATTTCGTGTAAAACTTGATTTGCTTTAATCAATCTTAATTAAAATGAAAACAAAACTTACATTATTATGATATTTATAGTTTACTTTTTTTATGATTCTCTGATATTCATTGAAGTTCCAAAATTTCTAAGTTTATTAATAGCTACTAATAGTAGCTTTAATATCTTTTTTTTCTTTTTAAATAAATAATAAATGACTACTTGTGTTAAAATGAATTATTGTGAATATTATTATTATTTTTTTTTTTTACCTATCATATAATATGTACAATTTCTGTATATTATATTTTGTATGACAGTATAAAATAGCTTCAAATTTCTACAGAGCCAGTAGGTAACATACATAATAAAAATAATTAAATTATAGTCTGACTTTAATTAAATTCAGACTTTAATTTCCTATTCAATTGAATTAGTTCCCTAAAAAGTAGATTGTTTTGTCAAAGGGTTGACAAAAATTATAATAATTTATTTTAACTTCAAAATGTATTTGAACTAATATTCCATCTAGTTATAGATTTTTAGTATGCTATCATTTAAAAATAAAAACGTAAGTAGTCATTTTATTTTTAAAAAATTGACACTGTAAATCTTATTTCATAAATTGTATATTCTTCTAAAACATTACAATGAATATATCTTTAAGGGATCTAGTACATAGTTATTCATACAAAACGAACAAAATTAATTAAAAACTGGGTTTTGGGTTAAATTTTGTTTTCCAAAAATGTAATTAATTAAATAGGTTAAATTAAGGCACTACACCTTTATTTAATAAGAATAAACAAAAAAAATATATCCTAGGATAATGGGGTTATAAGTTGGAGCAATATTACTGATAGAAAAGATGTTTACAGAAAAAAATATATTTGTAAAACCATAAATTTCTTCGTTTCATTATGCCATTGTCTTCTTGTTGAAAACCTATAATTATATATTAATAATAACTCCAATAATAGTAACGCTTTATTAAGATGTAATTATTTTTACAATGGTAATAGGTAACCTATCTACATACTTACTAAACAATCTTCCGTACTTGTTTTAATTTTTGTCATAACCTATAAATCATATTCTGAATTAATTTTTATTATACTTTTATATAATTTATGACATTACCTATATTAAAATATAAAATACAAATTTTTTATTTTTTATTTTTGAACACTCATAAATTTAAAATAGTACTGACTTTTTAAACAAAAATTTGACAATTTAAGAGACAAAAAGCTCTAAAATGTTACATTTTCACTAGTTGATTTGTTTGATTTTTAATGGCATCCTTTAGTTAAAATCACAAGAACATATGGAGTAGAAAAACGAAATTAATAGAATACTTATTCAGACATAACATATTTGTAAAGAATATCTTCGAAGGAAAGATTTTGGGGAAAACATCTAAATGACCCCCAAGAACATTATATTTCCAAGATCTTAAACACCGCATGGAAGTCACATCCAATTCACAGCTGAGAAACGTGGCTAACGACAGAGACATGGCTATCACAAGGTGCAGCTTTTAGGTGATGATAATGATGGAGTATGTATTAGTTTAAATAATTTTGGTGTTGATATTCTTGATATCCGTCTACCCATTTATGAGATATTTCACTCTTACATTTGGTTAGGAAAAGAGTAGTGGACCGTTGTTATAACACCACGTGCCCGCAGTACCAACCAAATGACACTTCACTAGTCTTCTCCAATCAAAACTTAAAATTAAAATATCTAGTCAACGGGTTGACAGAAATCAAATGTTGTCTATTTATTTAAACTAATACTCCGTCTATTTTATTTTCACTATAGGCTGCTGATTAAAAATCCAAACTAGGTAGTATTAAAAATTGTTACACAAAACTGTTACATTGGAATTTACTATGTAACAAAATATATTAATTTTTGAAATGTTATATGCTCATGACAACTAAACGAGGTACCGTTTTGGAAATAAATTGTAATCTGTATTAGTTAATGGTTATCGGTGGAAACCCATTTATGAAACTGTGGAGTTATGAAGCGGTCGTTATGGAAAGTATTGTTTTTTTAATAATATATAGTGTATTTGATTACATGACAAACAATCGGTGTACAAAAGAGCAAAATGGTAAACTAGATTTATTAAAATTATATATAAAAGACAGGAACAGTATACCAGGTAATCCATTTAAGTAGTACACTCATTATATCGGAAAATATTAACTTTTTTTAGAATTTGTTTTCTGGAACATTTAGGAAATATATAGCTGCTCTATAATTTTATATTTATGTTATTTTAAGTCACTCTTATTTTTGAGAGTAAAACCACTGCCTACTTTTGATTTTCAAATGACAACCTGGTGTGTCCCTGGGGGGGACGATGGGGGATTCTCCTCCCCCCGACAGAAGTGGATTTACATTGGCATTTGGCATAGTAAATGGTCCAAAAATAGATATAATAGGTATAATCAATGTATTATTTGAGATAATTTTTTAAATTCTGAGTGTATTGAAGAATGTATTAGTTTTATAATAAAATTGATTTTTTTCCCTTATACTGTGACGAAAAATTTCTACCAGAAATCTAGCCCCGATATGTACGTGTGGTGGTACCATTTATAAAAGGAAATAATGTCTGGATGGTACTTTAGGTCAGTTTTTGATTTTTCAAGCGATTTTCATGATATCTGAGAAAATCCGTGAAAAAATGTAATAAAACCGGGAAATTTACTAAAAGTAATACTTTTTATTATTTTCAATTGTATTATTTGTTATAATTCAGGTAAAAATGTTCGTAGACTTGAAATTTGGGCAAAAAACATATTTGCCTATTTTTACGTGTTAAAACTAAAAACACTTAAGCCATATTTAGGCTATTTATAGACACTTGAATTTCATGGGTAATTTTTATTTGGCAGGTACTCTGTAGATAAAATTGTTTGACAAAACAGAAATGCTTGAAAATTGAACAGGAGGTTAATTATAAGTCATACTTCGCGGTCAAAACAAAAAAAAATTAATTTAATGTAATATATATTTTTATAAGAATTTTAATATCAAATTTTGACGAAAATTGTTTTTGTAAAAACTTGTGTGGAATAAATCTATTTACTGGTCCATACAAAGTGTTTTAATATAACATGACATATATATTTTTTTTTTTGAAAAAACTATACTATTAACCGAACTTACACGGAATCGTTTTTCGTTAGCAATGATTAATTTTTGCTTACAGATATACATTAAATATTTCCTTCTATATTCTACCTTTCCAACTTCTAACTTCTCATCTACAACATGCAGTGATTGCGTCAATTTTTCGAGCAATCTGAAATGGACGAGGAAAGATTCAATACCATTTTCAATGCTATCAGTAAGTTAGATAACGCGATGGATCAGATTGTGACCAACAATTTAACCCCCCCCCCCACCTAAAAAAGCCGATTTTTTTTTCAATAACATATATGTAGTAATAATATATATACTTAATAATGTATAAATAAATGTGTTTATAATAAATAATTTAAACAATTTTTTTTAATTCGAATTAATTATTTTTGCCCCTTCATTATTCAAACACTCGGTAAATCGAAAACTCCAACAAATCTAATTTTTAGTTCGGTTCCCTGAATTTCGAATTATCAAGTGACTACTGTAATAATTTATTGAATTAGATACATTTGATTAATCGTTGTTTATTTTATGTAGCCCATACATGGAAGTTTGAACATTCAAAATTCTATAATTATTTTAACGGAAGTCACCAAATAAAATAGTTTTTTTTTTTTTCTAAATCTATTCAGTATCACCTAATACTTTATGATTTTAATAATAATATTAAATGAAATAACTAGTTATGACAGGCGGTTCAAAGTAAAAGTACTTGGTATCGCCACTGCCAAGAGCTGGGATGAGGGAATCGGTGTTAGAACGTCGCGGTGCGCAACAAGTGACATTCCCTTGGTCGTCCGGTCAGTAAATCCAGCTACCGAGTTCTAGAGTCAAGTGGACGATGTTGAACCATCAGTAGCCACAGATCACACCTGGTCTTGGCCCAGGACACCCTAGTCGTGTGTATTTGTCGCCGTGTACGGCCATAGAAAGGATCTTGCATAGGTGTGCGTCAGTTATTATACGAAGAACGTAATATACTGTGGCAAAAACTGAGGTCCCCCAGTAGTCTAATGGCGTGAGGGGGTAGAACGCGATTGCGTGCGTTCATTTGTCTTTCTTGACAACACACGATTGCGTGTGTTTTTCGGTGGATTAAAAAATATTGAAAAAAAAAAAAATAAATAAAACCATTCCGACTGCGTACGGATTCGTGTTCAACGTTGTTAAACGCACGAGTGTATACTATGTACTCGGTGATGTATCGCTAAAACAAACCGCGGGCACACGCCTTATTAACGTATACAGAGGTATGTGGAGATCTGAAGGCAGGGTCCAAAACAATTTTTCTCGCTTCGCTGAAACGGCGATTCTTTTGGATTACGAGTGGAGCGAAGAAGTTTATGGTCTTACAAAGACATTGATTTATTTTCGGTCCGTGCGCAATTTTTCTACCAGAAGTCTTGCGCCGATTTACAACGGTTGCATTTTTTGCCTGAAAAGATATTTGACTGGAGAGGAAATTTTTCGATTTTCCCAGGAGATTTCTCATTAAATGTGAAAAACCGAAAAAACAGGAAAATGTACGAAATGTATTAGTAAAATATTAAGTATAATATTATATCGTTGTTCATCACTAAACGAGTTATCACAATAAGAATACAAAATATATTAAAGTGGTAGAGTCCAAATTCAAATTTTGTTTTTCGTTATATTACAAAACTCGTCACAGCCACTCACATTCGAGCGCTAGCTGTTATTACAATGGTTCAAAAACCTTCGTTTATATGGTCGAAGTCGAAAACCAACGAAGAGTTTTCTTTTAACTACTGATAAGCCGCTCGTCGCGTATCCTTTATATCTTAATTCGTGATTATTCCGTAAATAATAAAAAACTACTTTATTATCTATGAATTTGTCTAACCTACACCTATGATTTATGACACGGAACTTCTGAGTGCGGACCATTTTTTCATCTGCAAAATGTCCACACGATTTAAATTTAAACAATCCAATTTCTAATGTAATACAGACCGGTACCCTTTTTATCGCGAACTGGCGGTTGGGAACCACTGCAGTACAATATACCTAATGTATTATACAAAATCTGATACATTCTTATTTCATACACTGTTCGGTATTCATTTTCATTATTTTATTATCCTTTTTTGTGTTACCTATGTCTCAACGATACACACGAGCTCAACTGACACAAATATCATACATATAAGTTCCTCAACCAAGTAGGTACATTAAGTCTATGTCTGTTCATTGTTGTTTATATTTATTATTTTCGCACTTACTAATATCCATTTAAAAAACCAAAGATTAAATTGATGCAAAATACCCCACTTAAATTTTTACGATTAGGAATTATAAAATATTTTAAATTTAATCAATGGTTCTACTTAATAATTCTACATTGGTCAATTATTATAACTAGTATCAAACTTCCAACTATGAATTTACTATTATCTGGATTGGATGGGAATAGAGTATAATAATATAGTGAATAGTGTTTTCAAATATTAATACTCTATTATTATTATAAATGTATACTATTATAAAATATAACCAAAACGTTTTTATACATTTCATTATTATTATTACTGTTCATTTTCATATTAGGTATAGAATAAATATATTTTCATTTAATTTTAGCAAGAGAAATGCAACAGACTAGTGCTCCAACATCTGCTGATGCCTGTTTAAGTATTGTTCACAGTTTAATGTGCCATCGACAAGGATGGGAGAGTGAAGGATTTGCTAAACGAGCAATCGAATCATTGGTTAAAAAATTAAAAGTAATCTTTTAATACAATTGAATTTATTGCTAGCTAATTAAATAAATGTTTTTACTATAAGTATAATAATTGCTTTTTTAAGTAAATTAATTAATTTTTTCAATTTTTAGGAAAAAAGAGATGAATTGGACAGCCTTATTTTAGCTATAACTACAAATGGTTCGCAAACAAGTAAATGTGTTACAATTCAAAGAACATTAGATGGTCGGTTACAAGTATGTTATATTTATATTTTTACTAGGCCTATCATTTTAATATCAGCTAAAATAATGTTATTAGCTGTTAAATTAAATAATTCATTTTAGATAATAGTCTTTTAAGGAGATCAGTATCCAATATGTATTTTTTTTATTTAAGACGTACTCAGCATAGTAATTTTTGATCAGTTTTTTTGAAATCAGTCTGATTAATACAATAAAGCAAAATAAATTTTGAAAAATATTTCAATTTAGCATGACATTTTTCATGATAACTTTCTAATATTAGTAATGTATTTCCAAAAATTAAATTTTAAAATTAAATTTATAGTTTAATGGCCAATCTCATTTACACTTAGTGTTTAATTTTTATCTGTTTACAGAATATTATTTTGCTATATGTGACAATAGGTGCGTACTGGCTCGCCGGTGGTACCGGGAATTTCCTAGTGGACCCTTCTCATATAGGCAATTGATTTATACACATTTTCCTACTCCTATTTCTTTAAATTACCTATTGTAGCTTTGTGATTTCTTAGATAGGTAGGTAGGTGGTACTTGAAGAATCTTTAAGATTGATGTTTATAAGTGGGTCCTATTTAATAACTTCCCAGTACAAAAATAGAACCCAGAATGCGTCTGTATGACAAAGAAATAAAATATCGTCATCTAATCCCCTCAAATGTAATTCACTCAATATAAATTATTAATATGGAATGTCAATTGTATTATGTAATTAAATCTCTAATGCATAATCTTTTAGAATTTATAATTTTCTAATTATTATTTAAAAAATACCTGCTCTAATATTACCTAGATCAATTTTTGCTTGATTTAAACAAATGTTAATAATTTTATTTTATTTAATTATAGGTGGCTGGCCGCAAAGGTTTCCCTCATGTCATTTATGCAAGAATTTGGCGATGGTCAGATTTACACAAAAATGAGCTCAAGCATTTAAAATATTGTCAATATGCATTTGATTTGAAATGTGATTCTGTGTGTGTAAATCCATATCATTATGAACGAGTTGTATCACCAGGCATTGGTAATTATTTGTTTATATTTACTTATATGTCTGAAAGGTTAAAATTTAATATTTTAATATTTGTTTAAAAAATTATAATTATATTTTACGGTCTACTTTTTTCTTTTTTTTTTAGATCTAAGTGGCCTAACACTTCAGAGTAGTACATCTACTAACAACCTCTATCCAAACATCCAACATTTATCCCAACAACCCACTGTTTCTCAAGCTGCTGTTGGTAAGAATTTAAATATATTTTGTCTAAATAAATAATTGCATATTATCAATTATAAGTAGAAACTACCTCTTTTTAATTAATTAAAACTTGTGTTTGTTTAGTACATTTCTATTTTAAAAGTTTGCTTATTAGTATTGCATATGTAATAATGTACATAGTTATTAGTAGTCATGATTTTTTGTAGAAGATATTGATATGTATGAGACTACATCCCAGCAGCAACAACCATCCAGTAATCAAATTGGTTTGAATTCTGAAGTGCAAATTAAGACTGAAACGTGTAATGATTGGATTTCGGGTACACCATCATATGTATCTTCCACTAGTAAGTGGTTTAAATTTTTTTAGGATTTTTAATACTTTGATATGACCATACAATTCTAATTATAAATTCATGAAATAGGACTATGAAGTTAATTATATATATAAATATTTGAAGTAAAATGTTGATCATATTCAAATTCATTATTCTGAAAACTTTTATTTACATGACAGGAATTTAAATGATATAACTTATTATATCAGGTTTTTTACCAATATCCATGTTAAAGATATTCACCCTTATTCACTATAACAATATATTAAATTTTATTGAGACCGTAAATCAATCTATTGTCAAAGCTGGGATCCCAAGATAAATACTATACAAATATTCATAATTTGTTCTATTTTTAAGGATTATTAGTCAATATACAAGCATAAATAAAATAATTATCTTAATATATTAATTATTACATCTTAATTGTGTTATTATATAACTGTTTCTTGTTTTTTATTTAAATTTAGTGAATTGTGTTTTACAAATTTTGTTAGCTATAAAGTATAATTTTTTTTGGTTTTAAGTCTTATTTAATTTTATGCATTTTTACTATTTTTATATTTTTGTTTTTTACTTTTGCCTATTGTTTTACATTGTTGATTTGGTAGTAAATACTGTTAAAATGTGTGCAGAATATAGCTATGGAACTATTATTTAATAAGGTTTGTCTTTACAAAAGGGGGTTGAAAATAAGGTCAATGCTATGATACCTTGTTTGGTGAAATGTAGTTTGTGTTTGACGGTGTTATGCTTATTAGATTGTAGATAATCTATAATAATTATTAATTTTATGAAAATCTGTTAAATTACGTAATAGGTTTGATTAATTATATATTTGTTTTAGGACCAACAAGTATGCCATTACAAAACTCAAGTATGTTCTCAGGACAAGATAAAGAAAATCTATGTAAGCATTAGGCATATTAATTAGTGATAGATACAACTTACTTATCTGTATCCAAATCTATTTTTATCAGACCATCTGTATCTAAACAAATTTTAATCAGAACTAGAACTAAACTCAAATAAATATTTTAAATGCATAGGTATAATATTAAAATTACTATTACTTATTAGTAGGGCTTGAAATTATATGCACTAGAAACTTACAAAATATGCATGCATTTATGCACTTATTTTTATTCAAATCTGCACTTAAAATGCAAAAAAATATATTCATGATAGTTTAATTTATTTAGTTTAAAAATTTAACGATTGATAAAATAATTTATATTAAATAAAAAATTTACTAAAAAGTTATGCTCAAATATTTTCTCTTAATTCCAAAACATATTTACAAACAGACTTTTAGTTTTGTTATTTTATTGTGAAATTTGAAGTATGCTTGTACAAAAACTAAACAATTACTAGTTTTTGATTATCTTTGTGGTACCTTCAGTAAACTTTATCTTATTATATAGGGAGCTCATAATAAACAATTATCAATTGGCATTTGTCTGATGGTTAATTTATGGGTAAATACAAATTAAATGTATCCTTAGATATTAGTATTATTAACTTAATACTATTTTTATTTTCCATTATATGCATTTTTTTTTTTTTGAAAAATGCTAAAATATGCATAATAATCAAAAATTGTCTAAATATGTAAAATTATGCAAAATCATATTGTGTATACCAACATATTAGTCTAAGATTCAAATTTATATCTTACCTAGTTACTGTTTAATGTAAAAAATAAAAATATGCAATGCATACAATTCCGGGTTCTACTTATTAGTATTACTGTATTCAATTTGTCTAATTGAATATTTATTGAGATTTCTATAATAGTGGTTCCCAACCTATGGTTTATGTACTACTGGTAGTCTGCGAAACATTGTGGTTTACAAAACGATATTTTCAAACTTGAAAAAAAGTATTTACTGCGTTAAGTGATAGTGATTGTTGGAATTTATTAGATCATTAATTTATAATTTTATTTTTGTAGATCACGCTACTTATTTATTATTAGGTAATCTAAAACACAGTTGAGAAAAAATAATAAAAAATTCAGGAATATGATGTGGTTCATGATTAATCGAAAGTTCTCTAAGTGGTCCATTGTGTCGAACAGGTTAGGAACTATAATATAGGCTTAAATTTTCAGTATATAAAAAACCAATTAACAAGTAAAAGTAATACTTTTGTATTGGTTTTCAAACAGATTGTCTCAGTTATTTTGATTTAAAATTTAGGTTTTAAAGTTCGAAAATCTTTAATATTAATTCTCTATCTAACATATTATTATTATAAAATATGTTTATTTAACTTATTCAGTACCTAATCAAACAATATCACCACATGATTATCAAGAACCTAATGCCACTATGCCCAGTACTACAACAGGCAATCGACCCATACTAAGTACACTTACCTATACACATTCAATGCAACCTCCACATCCAGCATTCTGTGTGTATAAATTTAATTTTTTAAGCTATTTCAAATTAAAATAGATCTCTTTAACTAAATTTTTGTTTTATTACAGGGGGAAAGTCTGAAATTGGATTAACTGGTTTGTTATCATCTCAGCCAGCTCCTGAATATTGGTGTTCAATTGCTTATTTTGAATTGGACACTCAAGTGGGGGAAATGTTTAAAGTAACATCTGCTTGTCCACATGTCACTGTTGATGGTTACGTTGATCCGTCTGGAAGTAATCGATTTTGTTTAGGAGCTCTTAGTAATGTGCATAGGACTGAACAAAGTGAAAAAACTAGGTAAATTTATTTATTTCTGATTTATAACGTTATATATATATTTTATACTGTTAAAGCTAATACTTGGGTTACTATGAAATAATAATGGTTGTTACAGATTGCATATTGGAAAAGGTATCCAACTTGACCTTATTGGAGAAGGTGATGTTTGGTTAAAATGTCAGAGTGGTCATTCAGTCTTTGTACAATCATATTATTTGGATAGAGAAGCTGGCAGAGCTCCTGGAGATGCAGTCCATAAAATGTATCCCCATGCATATATTAAAGTATGTCTTTTTAATGCGTGATATAAATGGTAATCAATTGTGAATGTTAAAAACAAAAATAAAAAATAAGTTTTAAAACTATTTAGGTTTTCGATCTAAGACAGTGTTATAGGCAAATGCATCAACAAGCTGAATCATCACAAAATGCAGCTGCCACTCAAGCTGCTGCAGTTGCTGGACATATAGCAGGACCTCATAGTGTAGGAGGTATTGCTCCAGCTATAAGTAGGTTTTTTAGTTAAATATTAAATATATCTTATAACCATATAAATCAATTTATATTTTTATTTAAGGTTTAAATGCTGCAGCGGGTATTGGGGTTGATGATCTAAGAAGATTGTGCATATTGAGATTAAGTTTTATAAAAGGTTGGGGTCCTGATTATCAACGAGGCAGCATTAAAGAGACCCCATGTTGGATAGAAGTATGTACTAATCTGTATTTTACAAAATACCCAATTTAGTGGCTAGTATGCCAGTATATTTGATTACTGAGTTTATTTACAATAAAGCCTTGTATGTGCCTTATATTTCAAATTCAAAATAAAAACTACTTGTTCTGTTCACCCATTAAATTATAAATATGGCTGGCTCGATTTATTTTACTTACACATTTGACCAGGCCTTATTTTTATTTTGGTTGATTCAAAGTTGTATTCATTGGAAGTAAATGAATAAATAACATTAAAGGGAATTGATTTAATTTATATTTATGTTCAGTCAATTTTTTAAATGAAGTTTAATCCTAACTTGGCCTATTTTAAATAAAATTAATTTTTAATTATTCTATGACTCGACTAACACAATAGTGATTGAGCCTAGTCTGATCTCTAAACAGTACCACTCAGTTAATATATTGGTCCATCCAAACCTGGAATAATGAGTCGTCTGTATATTAATATAGAGCGGTTGTGGCCATTCCGGTTTGAATTGTTACTGTTTAGATTATTTCCGACTAGAATTATAAATAAATTGAATACCTAAACAATGATTGTTCTGTATTCATACTATATTGTAATTTTAATGTATAGTGACTAGGTATTTTATATGTGAGCTGTCCACTAAATTGATACATTTTACTTGGATTCTATAATAATAGATTGAGCGAAAATGACACATGAATACTTCACACAGAATTATTATAGCAAAAAAAAAAAAAATGTATTAATTTGCCACTAAAAAAAAATAAAAACAAAATATGCATTAAATTATCCTTTTTTATATGATATAAGCTAGTAAAAATAATATAATATAATCTATATTGTTTGTAATGTTATAACAATAATATGATTAGTAATTTCTATGTGTAAATGGTGTTTAAGGTTCATTTACACAGGGCATTGCAACTTTTGGATGAAGTGTTACATTCTATGCAAATTGATGGTCCACCAAGAGCTTAACTTAAATTAAAAACATCAAATATTTAATTATAGTAAGTATGTTTTAAGAAGAAAATTGATTATCAGCAACCGAAGTCAGTTCATATAGTTTTTAAATAGTTGCTGAATCATATAATTTAATTTTAAAAACATATATTTATTGTACAATAATACAAACAATCATAGTAAATACAATACCATTAAAACAGCTTGTTCACTAAACTAATGACTAGGTTGCTCATAACTGCATTGTCAAAACACGCTTTATGCTAGTTTAAATTGTAATAAAATATTTTTTTTAAATGTTGTCTAGTGATGTGAAAAAAAAACAAATGAATCACCACATGAAAAATTAAAAAATCAACTATTGGAAATAAATGCTTCTGTTGATTTTTTTTTCAATTATGAAAGAACAAGTAAATGTAAAAAAAAAAAAAAAAATACTTAATCTTAAATAATTGTTGTTTTATTTTTCTAGATAATTTATATATCAAAATGAGACTTATCTGGAAAAAATGATTTAAATGTAATGTTTGGTAACTTACTAAAAGAAATAAAATTAGTTAAACCTTTCATTTAAAAAAATCAGATACAATACATATTGTTATCAGTGGATATTAAAGTATTATAATGCAATTTCAAATTATATATTAACAAGGTACTTAGTATATCAATTAGCATATTTTTAATTCAGTTAAAACTATCTTATATAAAACTTATATTTAAACCGTAACTTACAATGTTTACAACCCAGCACTTCTGTAAATGTAAAATAGCGGTCATTGTACTCATGGTATACATTACACATATTGATTTAGGAATAATTAATTTAATTTAATAATTTAACTTAATTTTACTATAGTTTGTAGCTTGACTTGTCTAATCTTTTTGATCTAATTGGTTATTACCAGGGACTGGAACTTGATGACCTAAACATTTTTAAAAAATGTATACAAAAAAGTATTAAAATGACTTATAAACATTAAAAAATGACTTCAAAAATACCAAAAATGACTGATTGAAAAATATTAATTTTTAAAAATTTATGTTTTTTAATAATGAATGAAATCATGTCAGAAATCAAATATTTTTAATAATTTATTTATTATTTTATTTTATTTTTTTAAACAATAAATGTGTTACACTGAACAATTAAAGTGTTTTTGAAGTTTAAAGTGTGTTATCCGACACTGTATTTAGGCATTTTTAATCAATAATAATAAATATTTAAATCGAAGTCAGTCAAAGCAGTCGAAAATCAATAAAATAAACAAGTCCGCCATTCACTTTCACAATGCCATAAAATTTCAATCACATCACTGCGTTATCATATTTCTCATGTATGTCAGTAAAATTATCGGAGTTCACACAAGTTAATTTATTCTGGGTAAACCAATCAAATCGGAATTACAATAACGTAGAGGTTAACCACTTAGCACAGGTCTTTTTCAGGCCTAAATTAAATTTGGAATGAAGTTACTAAATAATGTCAATAATACCAAATTAATTGAAGGATTCGGCTACATAATAAGTTAGTTTCTTTAAATATTTAGTTTTATCAAAATATTATGGAACAAAATATGTTCTTTTAACAAGAAAAATGCATAAAATGTATTAAAATTGCTAAAAAAATGACCTTACAACTGAAAATTACCGAAAAAATGAAAAATATAATTTATACCATTGAATTCTGTATGGCACAAGTCAAAATTCTATTAAGATAGACCTCGAATACAAGCATTAGATAAAAAGATGTAAATTCATCAAGTTCAGGGCCCTAGTAATTACTATACTTTTTAACTTAAATATTATATTTAATTATTTTTTATTGTTGCTTAATTATTAAGTAATTAAAATTTAATAAACCTTATTGTTCTAGGCAAAATTGTATGATAAAACAATAAACAAAGTGCTTTGTGAGTTAAAATATCATTTAGCTACTCAAGGTGAATATACTAAATCCATAGAAAATTTATATAAAAATCGGTTGAAAAAATGTTATGAAAAATACAAAAACAAGAATCAATTATTTCAATTATCAATTAATTATATTGACAAGTTATGTTGCTTCATCTGATAATCTAGAAAATCTTTTTTAAAAGGTTTTGAATTCAATATACTGTCAAAGTAATATGGTTTTTTTTTTTTTTTAATTTCTAATGTTGAAATACCTTTTTATTTTTATTTTTCCAGAAACAGATACAAGAAATTCATTAAACCTAAAAAAATATTAGGGAAATAAATATAATTTTTATAAGTGTAAGTTTATTTAAAATATATTTTTATTTAATAAAACATTAATGCCTAAGGTAATTTAGTAATGTAATTGTAAATTTAATTTAATCATGTGTATTTATTTTTTTACTTTAAATATTATTGTTATCAGTTTTATACTACAACTGGCTTCGCTTATGTGCAGTTTTGCAACAAAATATTTTAAACTGAGTCTTTGTGTTAAATAATGTTTTACAAAACTGAATAATTTTGTATTTTAATTTATTTGTTTTTTTTTTTTTTAAATATATATTTTTACTTATCTGACTTAATTATTTAATAGTATTTAGAAATAAAAATATAACGAAAAAAAATATTTTATAACACATTTTTTAATAAGATTCATTGTGAACACAACAGGTAAAATTAAATTATTTGTAAGTATTTTTAATAATTTGATAAATTTTATTTGAATTATAAAAAATAATTAAATTCATTATTTACATGATAGGTATTATTTAAATTGCAAAAAAATATCACTTAAAATTACCATTAATGAAATAAAATTAAAAATCATTAAAAATACTAAAACCTATATTATATGTGAATAAATATAAATACATACATCACAATACAAACAATGTTTCATGACTATATAATTATACAAATATTCAAAGTAGATATTAGTAACAAAAAATATATCCAAATAATAAATAATAACAAACAATTTAAATTTATAAATAATAATTTTAAGTATAAAAATATAGTATATACAATAAACATGATTTAGTGGCATCTTCTGTAAGCTCCAGTAATCCTGGATTACTACTACTTTTTATCATTGGATCTCAAAATTGGAGCCCTATATATTTTCATATTCTTTATGTATAATTTTGCGCAATAATAGTTTTTGCTCTTATTATGTCATGTGTTTAGGTTATTGTACTAGGTAATAGTTGTTTTTAAATTAGGTTTAGAATTTTTATTTTAATTATTGATATATTATCTTGTTTCCCTGAGCATCTGTCATAATATGTAACTGCCCTGGATAAATATATAGAACTAACAAGGCCTGGGAAGAACTGCTTTTGGTTTCCAAATGTGTATCTTTCGAAGGAATTGTTAAATCCGCATTGAGTGTCTGCTCTTATATATTTTTAAACTTAATCTTATAACGAGAACTGATCATCCAGCTGCATGAGTCTCAGTAAATAACAATCACTATTAATTTTATTAAGTATTCCTTTTATTTACTTTAAAACCCTTGTTGAAAAGTCTTTAACTTTACAGTGCTTTCATCAATTTGTTTAAAGTACTGTTCTGAACCAATAGGTCTAGGTGATTACATTAACTATAATACATTTAAATTATTAATTGACTTAAGTTTTTAATCTTTTCAGTCTCCATGAACATTAGAACACAGAATAATAAATTCTAATAGATTCTATGATTATAATAATGTAAATCATGAACATATAGGTATATGCCTATGATATAAACACATTTGGTCTGCATTATGATGAACAGTGATACCAATAAAGTTCTTAATTTTTAACTTTCAGCAATAGTTATAGAAAAATATAACAATTGAATATTTCAGTGTAATATGATGATTTCTCCTTGGTACTTCCATTGGCACACAAAAATAAACGAATCTAAATCAGTCAATACCACATTTACCCTCAAAATGCAACAACCCCCTCCAGTATCACTAAATAACGAAATAATCCCTAATTCGGACACGGTCAAATATTTAGGATTATACTTTGACAAAAAACAACTGGGCCAAACACATTCACATGACCAAACTAAAACTAAATCGAAGACTTTCTATTCTCCGTAACACTATGGGCAAAACCTCAAAGCTCAACCTAAAATCAAAAATTAACTTGTACAAACTACTAATAAAACCCATTTGGACGTATGGAATTCAGTTATGGGGAGCTGCTAAAAAAACAAACATAAACAAAATTCAAGTAGTCCAATCAAAAACTCTCAGTCTCATCACTAACGCCCCTCCTTACGTCTCGAATGAAACTCTACACTCAGACCTGAACATACCGTATGTCAATGAAGTCGCAAAAAATCACTATAAATTCCACAACAGGCTACAAAATCACACCAATCCCTTCATTAAAGATCTTTCATCACACTCCCTTCCGGGTAATACGGTNAGTCAATACCACATTTACCCTCAAAATGCAACAACCCCCTCCAGTATCACTAAATAACGAAATAATCCCTAATTCGGACACGGTCAAATATTTAGGATTATACTTTGACAAAAAACAACTGGGCCAAACACATTCACATGACCAAACTAAAACTAAATCGAAGACTTTCTATTCTCCGTAACACTATGGGCAAAACCTCAAAGCTCAACCTAAAATCAAAAATTAACTTGTACAAACTACTAATAAAACCCATTTGGACGTATGGAATTCAGTTATGGGGAGCTGCTAAAAAAACAAACATAAACAAAATTCAAGTAGTCCAATCAAAAACTCTCAGTCTCATCACTAACGCCCCTCCTTACGTCTCGAATGAAACTCTACACTCAGACCTGAACATACCGTATGTCAATGAAGTCGCAAAAAATCACTATAAATTCCACAACAGGCTACAAAATCACACCAATCCCTTCATTAAAGATCTTTCATCACACTCCCTTCCGGGTAATACGGTAAGGAGACTCCAGCGTAAGTGGCCCAGAGACTGGTTAACATAATACACAGGACTATACATTAAAAAAAAAATAAAATAAATTCTCGCCGAAGTGCTGATGCTGGACAGTCTCTTCAATTCAAGATTTTCATGTAAAAAAAAATAGTTATAGTGTTACATATAAAGTTGAATGCTGTTGTGTTTGTGTTTGTATTGATTCTATTACTATTGTAATTCAAATATCTCTTAAGCTTATTGTACCACGAGTACAGATTGTTAAATGTTCTTAATTTAAAATAGAAAAAAAAAAAATATATGATGAGATTATTAACTTAAGTGTTAACAAAACGTTACAAACTTTAATTAGATACTATTCTAAATTTAAAAATATGGTTTTATCTCATCATTTAATTACATATTTAATTTGAAAAGCTATTGCTGAGATATGTGAAAAAATAATTTAAACTTTAGATGAAGCTAATTTAAACATGAGTAAAATGTTAAAACTAAGATTGGATGGCCCAAATGTTAACAAAAAAGTGGTATACTTAATGATGAACAAGTAGTGACTCGGAGAAATGTTAAACTAATTGTCATATGTATATACTTGAAATATTACCATAATGGGTTAGGTGTAAATATATTTGATGACACATCTCGGTTAATTGATGCTGTTTACTGTTATTTTAATGAATAACCCACTACACGAGAAGAATTTGCACATATTTAAAAAAAGTCTACCAATACTTAATTTCATAAAACATACAATTTCGTCAACAGGGATTTCTTCCATTTTTCATTGCCTGTCAAACCTCGGCAAGTTACTATACGACCTACTTATCGTTTATTGCCAGGCCTTTAAAATCATTTTTTGGGCAAGGAACATTGTTTTTTATTACATCAATATAAAGATCGCTTCTTTAGCTATCCATATGTAAAATACAATTTTGTCAATACGATTTTCTTCTGTTTATCATTGGCCGTCAAAGTTGAACAAAAAGCCTGGTTTATTCTACTGCTCGTTACTATCAACTATTTTATTTTTAGCATTTTTTAATTGACTTCATGTCGTGCATTAATTGTGCCTATTTATTGCCTATCTAAATAACGGTTATATAAAAATATGTCTGGACTTTCTTATCAAGTATTGCCGGTCGAACATACATCAACATCATTAACCATGTTTTGGGTATAGATAATCAATTTCCGTGGTGTTTACTGTCGAACACAATTTACATAAAAAAAATTCATGGTAAAAGTCATGTTGAAAACTATATATTATTTAGCTATATAATAATTATTTTAAAATTCTGAATTTCAGAATTAATTTTTGTATCTTTAAACTGTTTGATGGTTTTATATCTTGGTATTTGATAGTACATAGTGATAGTGAAGTTATTTTTCCGTTTATTTTTTTTATGTATTTAGATAGTTCAGGTAGTTGTCTAATTTTGTTGTCTACTAGTAATTTATTTGATTTTGTTATCCAACGAATATGGCAAACGATGATTTATTGTTGGACCCTAGTATAGATACTGACAATGAAGAGTTTGACTGTCATTTGGGTAAGATACCAAAAGAACATTTAGCCGTATTCCAACGTTTGGCCAAAACAAATGGCAAGGTAAATCGCATGAAAAAGAATCAGTTAATAGTGAATATGAAAAAGAAAGAACTCAGTACTGAAGGCGAATTAGACATGTTGAGAAAACGTTTAAAGAACTACTACAAAAGAAAAGCACTTGTAAAAGCTAAAATCTGTGATGCTGAATCCAATTATTTTGCATATTTCGTTATTATCGATATTGAAGCAACTTGTACTAAAGACAATCCTCAAGATTATAAGTATGTTGAAACTATAGATTATTAATTTTTCATTAATCCACATAAAATGTTATAATTGTACAATTTAAAGCAGTAGGTAGTTTTCAATATTTTATAAATATCACCAGTAATAATAAGGTAATATATTTAAGGTATATCAAAATTATGGCAAACAGTGTTTCTTAAAGTAGGTATCTATTAATTATATTTCCATTAATTTAATTTGAAGGTATGTGCAAGGTATAGTGATAGTTAAAGTCTTAGTAAGTGAGGTAGAGAAGTATCTAGAATTAATTTTACAAAGGTGAGATTGAGAAGGATATCATATATAAGATAAAGTGTGCTGAGAGAGGAATTAGGTAGTGATATACTATATGATTACACAGAATATTAGAAGATTCCAATTAGGCTGAAAAGTACATTCTATAAAATTGTGGTGAAAACAACATTATTAAATTATTAAAAAAATACTGATCAATATCCAATAGCAAAAATTACTAAGTCATTAATCATTTTACCATATAGTTGCAATTTTCACACTTGTATGTAACATTGTAACATACTAATTAATAAATTCTTAATTAATAAATGTTAAAATAAAACTGCCTATCAAGTGATTTTTTTTTCTTTAACCTAATCTGCAAAATCTTTTTAATATTTGAATGTAGCCAAAGTGTCCAAAAATGTACCGAATAGTATTAAAAGACCACTGTATTAAGTTTTTTATAATTACATTTTACTTATTTCAATAAATACATTTAACTTTTGTAATAGTTTTGTACTATAATATTAATATCAATGTTAATCAAATATATTTTATTACTATAATACAGGTTTGAAATCATAGAATTTCCAGCCGTGTTAGTTGATGCCAAAAATCAAACAATAATCGACCATTTTCAAGCTTATGTAAAACCTACAATCAATCCAAAGCTATCTGAATTTTGTACAGAATTAACTGGTATTACTCAAGTAAGTTCTTTTATCTTTTATTTGATTAGAAAAAACTTGCCAAAAATGTCTTTTCAGTTTAATATTCCTAACATTATTAACTATTCCTAAAAACATGTTAGTTATCAGTTTTTTTTTAGCTCTTATAACTACTGAGCTCAAGTTATATTTTTTATATAATAATGCAAAGCCATTTGTGTTATTGATGGAATTTCAAAAAACTAATGTAATTAAAGTTTATAACAAAATGTTTGTAAAATTAGTAGGTATCAACATTATAAATAATTTTATTTTACAGAGTCAAATCGATTCAGCTGATCCATTTCCCATATGTCTTAAGAGATTTAAAGAATGGTTAAAGAAACACGAACTTGGAACAAAACACACATTTTCTGTTGTTACTGATGGTTCCTTTGACATGGGTCGATTCCTTTATGGACAATGTATAGTAAGTTTTCATTCATGATTATGATTTGATTATGAATCGGAGAAACTAAAAACCGTAATAATTTAAATTTAATTATAATAAGTTAATTTATTATATTATATTTAAACCGAATTATTTTGTTTATCTTAACAAATAAATTTAATTTTTAGATGTCAGGAATTCCTTATCCAGCGTTCGCTACCAAATGGATTAATATCAGGAAAGTGTTCAAAGCATATTATTTCCCAAAAAATGTTAAGGTAATTCTATATTATATATATATATATTTATTGTTTTAAATTATTTACTATCAGTACAAGTAAAGTCTATATCTTAATTAACTTAATATAACCCATGTTATATTGTGTCAACTGTTGAATATCTGAGATGAGCTGTCTCAAAATTAAAGTACAAACTAGATGATTAGGTTAGCCGGTGTATGGTGTACTAGGACCTTTACTACCTATTTTTAGAATTATCAAGTGTCAAATTCTCATTAGAACTGTCAGGTTGATGAATGTTTGGTTTTTGAATAATAATTTTAATAAGGGATTAACAATTATAATATACACTTACTTATAATTACAACAGCTTTTTGTATTATAAATCTTATAAATATTGAACACTGTTTTAACTTGAACTATTTATGTTTAATTAAAAAAAAAAATACATAAAACAAAGAATATAGAGTACATAATATTTTTAACCCACCATGAGTCGCCTTACGGTCTAAAAGACCATGAGTTTATTATTTCACTAATTGCTCATTGTTATTTTGTGCAATTTGATACCTTCAATGTATATGTTAAGCTATTTTTTTAAAAACTATTTAGAACTTATAATTATTGTTTTTCGACTTTAAAGCCATTTTTAAAATCTATAACCTGTCAAAAATACCGTGTGCAACTATACTCGGTATCAATTTTGTTAGATATTATTTTCATTGACGTCCAATTTTAAATGAAAAAAACAACAAAAACAATATTCACACTCACCTCTTATTTCCTCAAATAATTAATTGAAGGTTGCAATATTTTCGTTTAGTTTATACTTTTCATATCACTCATCACACGTTTATGTTGGTATTTTTAATAATTTATTTTCACTTTAAGCTTTAATATAATAGTTCCATTAATACCAACTTTTATTGTAAATTATATTGTATAAATTATGTATAATTTTTTTAAATCATTAATAAATTAATTTGTATGTAAAATGTTTAAAAAAAAATATATATGAACTGTCTAAAAGACCTTGTGTGATCATATGTGTTACAAATAATTATGCAATTCATGGTAGGTTAATTATAATCTTGTCTTGTATGTGGATTTTTTTTTTATGTATAAGCTACTCTTACTTCTTATAGTATTTATAATTACAGCATTTTTTTTTCTTTTTGAGAAAAATTAAATTTGTACATTATAGTTTGATTTTTTCTCTTGTATGTAAACACAGACAATTCAGTATCAACTTTTAATGTTTAAGTGGTAACATTTTATTTTTAAATTTTCAAAGATAATATTTTGTTTACCGATTATCATTACTCAAAGTTTAGACTGGATAAATACTAAAGAAAAATCTAAAAATTGGTGAGAAATGTATTTCCTTCAAATTAAAATTTCATCATAATCATATTATAATTTCATAACTTAGTGTGAGTTTTAGATGCCACTGTTAAAGTTTTTCAACTTCCATAGTTCTGGATAATTTCCTCCCAATTTGTGTTTTCCAATCTCTCTAGGTTTTGCTGTATGTCATCAATCTACTGTTTCTTTAGTCTCTTTACTTCTGGTTGTCATCTATAATTGCTCTTCAAGTAGTTCAACACGGTATCATATATAGATCCGCATATTGTTCTTAGCACTTTTTTCTCGAAGGCCATTAGTTTTTGTTTGATTCGTACTATCAGGGGCCATACTTTGCCAGTAATTATTGGTCTTATTATTGCTGTGTACAGGCATACTTGTTTACCTTTAGAGAAGAGCTTTGACTTAGTATTTAGCCTACGCAAAGTATCTCCTTTCATCTTTATTGATGGATCTATCTATTTTAGTGCTTCAATCGTTATTTCAGGTAATTGTTGCACCTAGATACTTAAACTAAGTTTTCTCAAACACATAGTTCTTAATTGCTAGGCTTTCATCTTTACTGTACATTATTTCCATAACTTGTCTTTTTTACATCGTTTCGATTTTGTTTGCTTTGTTTATGAGCGTAGTACTTTGTATTATTGACTCTTTATCTTCTCCTTTTCAGATCATTCGCAAAACCTAAAATGTCTAGTGTGACTGACTGTCAATCCTGATTCCAGGATTATTTCTTTGTATGCTAAATGAGGTTGAATAGTAATAGCGAAAATGCATCACCCTGTTTAAGGAGAGTCGTAACCTAGAACTCTTCTAATAAAGCGTTGTCCATCCTAACTTGATATCTTGATCTGTTCTTACACATTATAGTTAGTGAAATGAGCTTTTTGGGAAAATCTAAACTTGTCCTTATATTATACAGACTCACAATGAATACTATTGTATTTCTTCTTAAAATCTACAAATATCTGATAAACACATTTCCATTAATTCTTTAATAATGGAGAGTTGATTAGTTGATAATTTACCTTCCACATTGATAGCTTCCTATTTATATTTAAACCACAACTAATTACAACTATTTAACTATAACTATTTAAATTAATAAACTTTTTTGATTTGATATTAGATTTAAATATTTTAGTATCTTGTTTAAAGTTAAAAATTAAAATTATAGGTAATAATTAGAAAACTGATAATTGAGATTTTTTTATCTATTAAGGAAGGACATCATGTTATGTGTCAATACCATATTAAATAAATAAATAAATAAAAGTGAGGACGATAAATTATTATAATTATGAAAAATTAAAAATAATGTGCAGAAAATATTTTGATTTTAAAATTTTAAAATTTTGTTTTAAAAACCAATTTACAATAGTAACAACAAATATTCCTAGTAAAACATGGTGTATTTAATTGGTTTATAATTATCCAATTTATTATATTGCATTTCTTTTAGAATTCTGTTCCATGCAATATTAATGCAATGTTAGCATTTTTGGGTATGAGATTTGAAGGTAGTCCTCACAGTGGCTTGGATGATTCACGGAATATATCAAGGATATGTATACGATTACTTGAAGACGGAGCATTTTTAGATCAAAACGAAAGAATTATTTCTTTGAAAAACCCTACTCCATTTGGAAAAGGTGTATGTGTTTAAAGTTTTATAATAATTATATTAAACAAATAATAAACAAAAAATTATGTTCACTAAAATATTGAATTTTATTACAGGATCCTTTACCAATAAGGCCAGTACATAATATATTTTGCGATGGCATACACAAGAAAACTCAACATTGGACTCAAATGAAGAATTTAAGTTTAAATGATAAAAAATAATTCAAAATGATGAAACAAAATATAGATATTGTTCCTTCCGCACAAATCATTATCGATCATATATTTATTTTTATTTTCTTAATGTTTGTTATGACTTAAGAAAGTCTTTGTGATTCTTATTTTCAAAATAAATTATTGATTTATACATATTATTATATGATTTAGGGTATTTTACCCATATAATTATTACATTAAAATACGAATTCAATAAAAAAAATTTTATAATAAATTATTATATTCATAATATTTTTATTTTAGAGACTTCAACAATATTTATTTTTTTTCATTTTATTTAGCAAATAATTTTCTCACGCCCAAATTTCTAGGTTTTATAGGCTTATTGATGTCACAAAATAAAAATGCAAAAATAATGTTAATATTAAAAATTACTGATACCTATAATAAATATTGAATAATACTTAATAATAGATAATAACATAAATAAAGATACAGGCATGGCATAGGTTGAAATGGGCTGTTGTTTGCAGTAAATTATAGGCAATAATTTCAAACGTCAAAATATTTTCTTGAATCAATAATATAAATAATGAACAGCTCTTGGATTTTATAGCATTTGCTAATTATTTAGGATATAGATAAAAACAGCAAAGTGAGCTTTAAATTTGTTTTATGCATTAGGGCAGGGGTTTACAAACTTTTTCATTTGAGGGTCACAAAATATCAAAAGCTCTTAGTAGGTTAAAATGTATGAACACATAATTTATAGGTTTATAAAAATAATATATATTTAAAATATAGTTTTTACATATATTTATCTACAATTAAACATTTAACTGTATTAAAGAACAATGTTAGATAATCGTAAATATTATTCTTAATATTAAGAAATTTTGCTCAGATTTACAAGAGTAACACTCTTGAAGGGGGATTTTCCTGGAGTGGTACTTGAGGAAAGTCGTTTTTTAGTTTTTCCAGGGGTTTTCATAATAAATGGGAAAAAATGTGAATATTTATGAAAAAATGCTTTTTAATTTTATATTTTGTTTTGTTATAATTCAGTTTAAAATTTTTGTACAGACTCAAAATTTGGATAGAGAAATTAGATTTGCTTTTTATATACGTGATAAAATTTTCAAAACATTTGACCCATTTAAATTTTTATTATGCAATACCTATTTATTTGGTAGGATGATACAATTGTTAGACCAACTAGAAATGCTTGGTAATTTAACAGGCCGTTTATTGAAAGTTGTACTTAGTGGTTAACAATAAAAAGTTGAGTTTAATGTAATATTTTTTTTTTTTTTTTACAAGAATTTTAATATCAAATTTCAAAGAAAATCGTAAATCGTACTACCAAACATGTATAACCTTGACCTTATGGCCTTGGTTCTATGTGTATAACCGAATTTCGCTCAGAATCATTTTTCGTTATCAACGGACGACGATTAATCGTTGCATACAAAAATACACCTCCATATCCTACCAGTGGTCCAGTGGCCCGCCCATTGATTGTGCTGAATTTTTTTTGTTGAAAATAGCCCTCGTATTGGCACTCATGTAGACGTTATACACAACACGTTGGCAACTATGTCAATTACCGGCATCGTGGCGTTCTGTGATACGCGTTATCGATGTGGTTGGTCACATATCCAAATCGCGGAAAACTAATATGCCCATGGTCTACGTTAATTAGTTCAAATAATATTATTTTCATGTATCGTTTTCGTTGTTCACGTTTCGTGTAGGAGTTAAAATCGTCATTTAGTTTATTCAGTAACTACATAGTTCATTATAATGTTACTAAAGTATTACCTGTGTTCATTATTAACGTTACCCCTCGTATTGTTAGCCAGCGCGTCCAAAGAGACGTTGGTGTTGCTCAACAATTTAGTCATCAAAGAAACGCATTCCGTTTTATTTAACACGCTCAAAGGTATTTCATTTTACCCGGTTGCCACGGGCCGTTGCTCTTATTATTCTTAACACTATTACTATGTTCGTGATGGTTGAAACAAGTTGCTGAATACCTATGATATTGTTGTGACATCAGCGCCAAAGCTCCAAAGGGCTCTCTCAAGCTGGGCTTTTAAATTGAGGGCCCATTTTAGATATTAACGTGAAAATAATATAACTCATAATATACCCATATTAGAATATTATTAGCTAAGATAAAGTGATTCAAAAATAAGTTTTATGTAGTTGTTTATGTTTATCTGATACCAATAAGTATTAAAAATGGGGTTTATTCCATCTCTTTTATAATATTATTTTTATCGCTAAAATGACAATTTCTGTAATATAATTAAACCATAAATTGTCTAGTACTTTTCTTAAACATTTGGTTCCGTTGTCATTGTCAGTGTTTGCGGTGTATTTCCATGCCACAGTTTTTATTCTTATATCGCTTTTATAATGTCTATAAGTATAAACTTTGATTTTAATAAAATTTATAATTTTGTTGTCTTATATTTATAATTAGCGCGAGGATATCATTTGACTTTTAAATCAGCCGATGATCCAACACTGGTGCTTTCAAAGTATGGGAAATATTTCTATCAAAATTTAATTATATTTGCACCTACTGTTCAAGAATTTGGTGGAGCTTTAAACATTGAAACAATTACACAATTCATTGACGACGGAGGTAATTCTAATTGTTGTAATTGTATATATTTACATAAAACTAATATTATAATACTTTTCACAGGAAATGTTTTGTTTACTGGTGGTGTGTCAACTGGTTCTGCGTTGAGGGAATTAGCAGCCGAATGTGGTTTTGAAGTGACTGAAGAGAATTCATCTTTGATTGATCATTTAAATTATGATATTAGTGATGAGGGAAAGGTATATTAAATAATAAGTACTTACTTGATAATTTTTAGTCAAAATGTTCTCTGTTAAAATAGAAAGCTATTTTATTTCAAACAAATCAGTATCTTTTTTTTCCTTTTTTAGTTTTGAAATAGGTATATAAATATATTTTAATATTAAAATCTTATACATTTTTGTCAGTAAATTTATCCAGGCATTTTACTTATCAATTCATTAATATATAAAACTTATAAAATCTTTTTTATTTTAAAATATTTATGTATTTTTTTTTGTAGCATACTTTAGTAGTAACTAGATCGTCAAACTTAATAAAATCCGAAGAGATTGTTGGAAAAAGTAATGAAAAATCATTGTTATATGAAGGAACAACAGTTATTGCTGATCCGAAAAATCCTTTAGTACTTCCTATTCTTCATGCTGAATCTACTGCGTATTCATATAAAACTGACGTTCCTATTAAAGATGTAAGTTGATTAAATGCCGCCTAATAGCTGGTTATGTAATTTAAAATAATTAAATCATAATATTTTTATTCAGTATTCATTAGGAACAGGCAAAGATCTATTACTTATTGCAGCTTTACAAGCAAGAAATAATGCCAGAGTCGTATTCTCTGGATCTTTGTATTTCTTTTCAGACGCAGCGTTTAGTTCTCCAGTCAAGAAAGTTGTAAGTTTATATTTTGAATAAAGATCCATTTTAATTGTTTTAACCCTAGCAAATGTATAACAAAGTGTAATTGGTTTAGGATGGATCATCTTATAATGTTTCTGGTAACCAAGAAGTCGCTTCAAACATTGTTTTGTGGACTTTGAAAGACCGAGGTATGATAAGAGTGAAATCTGTGAACCATCATAAACTGGGCGACTCATCACCTCCACCATCGTATACTATTATGGATATGGCTGTAAAATATAAAATATCTATACTTAATAATCCATAAAAAATATTAATTTTAAAATAAAATTTAATAGGTATATTTAGTTGAATTAGAACGTTGGGAAGATGGAAAGTGGGTACCCCATAATGCTGATGATGTACAAGTAGAATTTGTACGCATAGATCCATTCTGGCGTGGCAATCTCAAAAATGTTGGAGACGGCAAGTATGAATTTACATTTAAAATACCGGACACATATGGAGTGTATCAATTCAAAGTAGACTATAATCGAATTGGATTTACTACACTTAGAAGTTCAACTATGGTAATTATTATATCTTGTATTAAAAAATGAAATTGTAAAATATACATGTTTTAATTTTTTCGTAGGTGTCTGTTATTCCACTGGAACACACTCAGTATGAGAGATTTATTTTGAGTGCATATCCATATTATGCGAGTGCTTTCTCAATGATGTTTGGAGTATTCATATTCAGTTTTGTATTTCTACATTATCGAGATGATAAAGTAAAAGGAGAGTAATTCAGACTGTTTAAGTTGCTGGTGATAATAATTTTGTAAGTTTAAGATTTAATTTATGTATTGATATTTGCTAATACATAAATATGTAAATGTATTTACTTCTGTTGAAAAAAAAATCTACACTTACCAACATCTATTGTATTATTGTTTTATTCATAAAATCATATACAATTAAATATTTAGGACAGTCCTAAAAAATCATCTACTATACATTAATATGTTAATTCAAATTCACTTAACAATTTTTGTGCATAAGGAGATTCTGAATAAAAATTGGCACACATACTTAAAACGTTATTACTTATATTATTAAACAAATAATTTAATGCCGGCGTCTTATTATATGAGCTCTCTTCGTTTCTCCTACTGAGTCATCATTCCTTTCAAATGAATTTTTTCTCATTTTCCTGAATTTTGAAACACATTGGTACATCTTTCTGGGACGATCTGCAATATTTCAAGTGTGTAGTAATAATATTTAATATGTAATTATTTATATTATAATTCTGGTATTATAATATTGTATTAATTATTATTTTAAAATAACTTACTGGGCATGTTTTGTGCATTTTCGGCCAATGATTCTCTTCGTGCGTGTCTGGCCAAAGTTAAATCAGGTAATGTAAGTCGTCTGTTATTTGCGTACATTGCTTCTCTCTGGCCCAACGATTCTGACCAATCAAGGTTCTGAAATAATATATTAGTATAGGGAATAATAGTATCATAATAAGTATGTTATTTGACAAATATGAATTTTACCTCTGGTACATTTGCTGGTTGACCGTTAAACCATTGCATTGTGTAAAAGACAACAAACGGTATCATCGACGAAATGAGGATTATCATTACGTTGTTGTCAAAGATCCACCAATCTTCTGCCAATGCATCGTTGATGTCGTCGCAGTTGTTCAGAAAGAGGTCATCGTCTTTACTTGAGCTGTCTGCTCTCCATAACTGCAGTTTTTGATTTTTTTCGTAATTGGGGAACATCAGTCCCGCAATTTTTTCGCTCACATCATCCACCAGAGTTTGAGTAGGTACTTGTAAATAATTTATGTACAAAAAAAAACCGACTGCTAACCCAATTACGTACACTACGATTATAATGAATTTCTTGACATTAATTTCCATTTTGCGTGACCCTGTTACGTTATTTTCGAGAGTTAAAAATAAGAGAAACGTATCAACAAATATTATTCATAAGTAATCGATTTAATTTTGTACGTCCCTCGGTATTAATTAAGTATTCTTTAATAATATTTTTCTCCCAACGAGTTCGTTGAGTTACAACGAACGGAATCAAAATAAACTATAGTGGCTCTATTGATTTTATACTTGCGCGTATTACAACCCCTCAGTGCCAATCTCTCGTTGCACAGTTTAGGAAACGTGAACAGAGATACAATATAGCCAAATGGTGTGCGACTTGCAATTTGTTTTTTCCAAACAGACTCTTTAACCAGGTGATGTTGTGTCTTGAGGTAAATATCGTTAACGATTTTTTTTTATAATTTTTTTTTTTTTTAAACATTGAACTTCATATCGTAGATTTGTGTTCTGAAATACCAATAGAAATGTTATTGTAAATATTTTTTTTAATTATAATATAGCGGGTATTTAAAATTATCGATTTGTATATTTATTGTTGTTATTTTCGAACGGAAAGTCAATTTTTGTATTATATATACACGCGAGTAAAATTAATACGTGTAGGTAGTTCCGAGCGTAGCCAGTAATGCATGGTTTTTACTATGAAGCGTGTGCTTATTAAATTCGTCCTGTCCGCAAACAACTTTCCTAATCAGATTAGAAATCCTGCATCAATCATCAACCTAAATGGTGGTTTTTGTAGCGAATTTTGTCTAGTCTGTGTAATAAGATAATTTTTTAATTATTCCCGGTAGTTTTGTTAATAATCGTGGAAAAAAACGGAACGGTTTACGGTAATGAAGGTTTCATTATTTTCGTTGTATGTATATATATATATATATATATATTGGGTTTTATGTGAATAAAATTGTTTCGGTTTATTAAAAATGTTTGACAATTGTATACGAAAATGTACGAGATAAATTGTGACGTGGTAAAAAACCCGGTACCTATGTGGAAATTAAGGGGGAACTTATGTGTAGGAACTTTAGCCCTTCAAACTTGTAAGATCTTCTAAATTTTGCATTATTACCATTTTTGATCTTTGAACAATCACTTTTTTTGTTTTTCTAAGACTATCATAAGTACCCACCTATCTAATTGAATATTTTTGGAGAAAGCCAATTGATAATTCACGATATTTTAAATACACACGTATTATTGTATATTGTAGCGAGAACGTTATACCCGTATGCGCTGTTAACTTTTTACAACCAAGTGACAGCAAATTTTCGTTCAGCAGGGACACTATTCATGATGTGTCATCGTTTTGTTTCATAATTTTAATTTTTAAGTAAAATGTAAGTATTTTAAAATCGCGATAATCCACACACTCTTGACGACACGATACGAATAATGTTTTTTATCTTTAAGTATGATGTTAGGTCAATTCACTCTAATATTAAAACTAATTGTACTGGGTTGTCACCGCTGAACGAAAATTTGCTATGTCGCGCGGTTTTAAGACTGAGACAACACATGCGGGTATAACGTATTACGCCTTAGTAACAAAACATTTACATTTTGAGCAAACGGAATCAGTACCTATTTGGATTTTTGATATTACATGTAGGTATACATACTTATCTACTTTTTTCGTTCAAATACCCGAGATAATGTTTACCGATACCTACAGGGTAAAGAATAGAAATATTTTTCATCAGCATAGTACCGTGTCTAGATATTTGCGATGAAACATACGTTTGAATTAAGATTCTCATCAGAATATTATAGTGATATTTTTGTGTTTGTAAGGTTAGCTATTCTAGGTGGCGTACTTACGGGGAAGGGGGGTTCCGTCCTCCCAGACCAAAAAAAAAAATAAAAAATTGAAAGTGATCTGAAGTCATTCCGAACTTGAAGTAAAAAAATATCATAAATTATAATTTGATTATTAAGTGTATATTGTGTTTTGTACAGTTTTGTTAACTATTAAATATTTAATGCTCAAATGCATACCTGATCGTAAAAAATAGGAATTTATAATTAATGATTTTACATACCTAGCTATTTTACTGTAAACCGTTCAACAAGATGTCAAAATAACAATTATTTATACAAATTATTAATGTTTGAATGTACACTGTACACAGATACAGGTACAGTATATTTTATGGACGACGAAAAAATAGATTGCGGGATTACCACGACCTGACTATGCTGTCAATAAACAAAAAATGATTAAATTATCTCCGAAGTGCTGGTTGAATTGTCAAATAATAAAAAAAGAGCCTGGAATTTTTGTTATAAATGTTTACTTAAATATATACCTAAACAGTATTAATAATATAATAATAATAATAATAATAATTGACTGCCTCTGTAAAGATTTTTATTTGTTTTATTAATTTTTAGTACCTACGTGTATTTGATAATTAGTAAAAAAAAAAAAAAAACGATTGTAATACTTCTAAGCCCCCAACTCCTTTCCAGAGTAAGATTGAATGTACTCCACTGGGTATCGAGTTAAAATAAACGAATAGGTAGCTACGCCAATAAACTCGTATTTGTCCCAAAAGTCCATTTGTGCGTAGTTGCAGTATTTATTACTGTAACCTATCGGCTACCGTACATTTATATCACTTTCGACATAGTGTTGTAGGAAACCTCGTATTATAGGTACCTACTATAAAGAACAGGTCACGTATAAAGTCAATCGGGTAAAAGGTAAAATCAATTGCCGTGTCGTTTATTCACATCGCAGTATTGAACAAAAAATGTTTTCGAATAAAGTTTCGAAGCTCAAATACGTACGGGTAGGTGGGTAAGCGTGTAATAAAAACGATGATATGTGTAGGTACAAAATAAAAAAGAATATACTACTCGAGATGCGTAGCAAGGATTTCACTGGGAGGGGGAACGGTCCATTTTAAAAAGACAAAAATTACAAAACGGTATAAGGTCTATACCGTTAAAATTACTAAAGACGAAAAAATAAAAGGGAATAGGAACCGTGGGAGAACGCCAATGCGTTGGATAGACCAGATCAAGATCATCTCTGGCTATCCTCCGGAAGATACCATTCGGTCGGTAGAAAACCGCGAGCTCTGGAAAGAGATTGTTGCCAACGTCAATTGACGGGTCATCAAACTTCAGTTTTTGGAAGACGGATTTAAAAAGAAGATATATAAAGTGAAATTTCGGAAGGGAACCTCATGGACCCTCTTCCCACTGGCTACGTGCCTGCCCTTGAGTGCTTATTAGTAAACCTGAGAAATAAGAACATTCAGATTTAAATCGTCCGTACCACATTTTCTCTCAGCTGCATTATAAATCCGTAGGTACTGGTTACACCTATCAAATTTTGTTTTTTGTTTCTGTTACCGAATTAATAAATCCGCCGCACATATGTTCGTTTGTCGCCACCAGCCGACGTGGTTCGTTCTCAATAAATTATTATAATGTACTCCGCGTAATGTTTGTTTAGTTTGCTTATTATGTACAGTTGGCTAAAATATATTAAAATTTTTCAAAAACCGCCGAGTTATGTGCCGCAGGTGTCCATTTACCATGTAATAGTTTATATTCTACTCGTTAGGTACGTTAAAATGGTGTGTTCGGGCTACACACGTCCAATCCATTTAGTTTCAAAAATAACACGTCGACCGTTTGCGGCGCAGCGCTTATATAATGATAATGTTGCATGAGCATCATTTTGGAAAAGTCATTATTTGATTTTCCCAGTGGTTTTCACGATAACTGGGAAAAAAACGTGAATATTACGCAAGATCGGTTTCCGTTATTTTCATTTTTTTTTTTTTTTATGTATTTTGAACGCAGCGAGAAATAATTCATATCGGGTTTTCTACGATATGTACTTTTTGTTATGATTTTTCCTGGTCTATTAACAAATTTTCTACCGGACATTTCGCTTTGGTTTTTAAATGTGCTACAGCATTTTTTTCGAGAAAGCAAATTTTGTCTATTGCGTTGAGAAGGTCATATTTCGATTTTCTTAGTACACTCTAATACGGGGTATTATCGTTCCGTGAAGATTAAAACTGAAGAGTTTGAATACTATCATTAAATGAGTCTCACTTCTATAAATTAATATGAAAAAGAAAGGTAAGATAATAGGGATGGGTGCAACTACTGGTGTAGGTGGAAAGTTGGGAAAGTAGGATACAGACGGGAATTTAATGTATATCTGTAATAACGACAAACCATTGCTTACGAAATAACGATTCTGAGCGGAGTTCAGTTGATAGTAATGCTTTGTCATATTAATGCCATATTAAAGTAAAATAATTAAATAGGCTCTATATATTTTCTTTAATAATATTTGTTTAATGTTGTACCGATTTTCCCAGTTCTCCTACGTTTTTCACGGTTTTCGCATGTTTTATTCTGGCTTTTCACATATACTGAGAAAACTCTTGAGAAAATCGGAAAATGACCCACAGTACCTCTCCACACCGACTTCCTTTCAGAAACGGTGCTACACTTAGAAATCTGAGCAAGTCTTCTGGTAGAAAAAGTGATTACAGATAAAAAAAAATAAATAAATAAATAAACATCTTTGTAAAACCATAAGCTTCTTCGCTCCACTCAGAATTTAAAATGAAAGTGTTTAAATATCAAAGGTTTAATCATATATTTTTATATCTGATAGGTGGTTAGGTCATAGAGTTCTGAATGGGTAGGTACCTTATACGGTAGGTATTATGGGTAGGTATCTTATACGCACGAATTAAGATATCTTAATTCGTGCTTGTACGTAGGCAAATATTGACGGGTCATCCGAGTTCGAATTCCATAAACGCTTAGAAAATTGTTTCATATAGTTATTTCGATAGTTGTAATGTTTCCCGCATGATATATCTTTAACTTTAATTTAACATTTGAAAGGACAATTGACTACCTAATAAAATTGCAGTAATATTTTTCGAACTAAAATATTTCTGAAATATTATACGTGGGTATATTAAGTTTCAAATGTTTCTAAAACATTTCAGTAAACTTAATTTGCTGTCTAGGAGTAT